GGCCTGGACCAGCTCGTAGTCGCGGCGGGCCGCGAGGCGGCTCGTCAGCGCGCGGATGAAGTTGAGGAGGCCGCCGTCCTCGGGGGAGAGGGAGCGGAGCTCGAGGTCTGCTGTCGAAGGGGAGAGGGATTTGAGGTGGGTGATGAAGTCGTCGACTATTTGACATGTGTTAGCTTTCTTTGTCATGTCTGGGAGTTTGGTGGTTTAGGTGTGAATGGAAAACTTACAGTCTCCCGAGGCTGCGCCGTCGTCCAGCTTGCTCGTAAAGGCTTCCTGCATGCGGCCGCGCTCGAGCTTGGTGATGCGGGAGTTCGACTCCGTCGCGACATCGGCGTCGGGTGCCGCGGCGCCTTCGATGAGCGACTGCTGCGGCTGCTTGCCGGCGCCGACGGAGGGCAGGAAGAAGGGCGCCTTCTCGGGGGCCTTGGGCGCCTCGGTCGGCTTGTTGCGCTGCTTGATGAGATCCAGGTGGAGCAGCGTCTGCCAGCGGCTCTTGGGGACGAGAGACAGCGTCGTCAGCTCGGCGCTGAGCTGGTCGATCGTCGGCGCGACGACGGTCTCGTCCTGCGCGTCCGCGTCGCCCTCCTCGTTGAAGGCCGCCTCGAGCAGGCCCTCGCCGCCTTCGCCGGACGTCGTGGGCCCGGTGAGCAGCGCGGCCTCCTTGTCCGAGATTTGCCGCGTCGGGACGTGCGTGAAGAGGGACTTGTTGGTCCAGATGGCGACGCCGAGCTCGTTCTCAATCGTGGCGGCGAGGTACTCGCCCGAGGAGGACATGGCCAGCGCGGTGCAGGGCTTCTCGAGGCGGATGGCGTCGATGAGATGGCTGGTGGGCAGGTCCCATATTCTGACGACGCAGTCTTGCGAGGCGGCGATGATCCAGCGGCCGTCGTTGGAGAAGCAAAAGTCGTTGATGGTGCCCTGGCAGCCCCAGAACTCTCTAATTGTCCTCTTGGTCTCCAGGTCGACGACGCGGACCGAGTTGTCGTCGCAGGTGAAGGCCATGAGGTCGTTTGCGGCATGGTACCGGCACCCGGTGATGGCAGCCATTGGCGCCCAGTTGATCTGGTGCACGAGGTTGCCCGTGACAAAGTTCCAGAACTTGATCTTGCCGTCCAAGGAGCACGTGATGACGTTCTTGTTCATCGAGTCCACCACGATGCCCGTTATCGCCTTGGTGTGCCTTCCTGTGCCGGCCGCAAAGCCACTGCTCTTCTCAGTGTGAAGCTGCACGACGTCGTCGGCCTGCTTCAGCTGCTGGATCTTCAGCGCTCTCGCTTGAGCGGGAGTGAGCCTGGACGGGAAGCGCTGGCGGTGAAGACCGGATTGCAGGTTGTACATGTCGATGCTGCCCTCGACAGAACCGACCAGAGCGAAAGTACCGCAGGAACTGATGGCGATGGTAGAGACGAAAGAGCCGTCGCCCGTGGGGAATGCCCATCGACCGGCTCTCTTGCGACCCCAGAACCATGTACGCGCCCAAGGGTCATCCTTGTGTGCCGTCACGACGCTCTCCCATCCAGTCGATCCGCTGACTTCGGCATCAAGCTTCTTCTTGTTCTCCCTGTGCTTCTGCCAGATGGGCTGGTTGCCAGGCAGGGCACCAATGCCACCGTCCCGGTTGAGGGAACTGGCAATGCATGTAATCTCGGGAGCCTTGAGATCTTCCAGAGTCGTCGTAGGACCCCTAGCCATCGCCTTTGTAGAAAGGATACCAGTCTTCTTTGCCATCTTGCGGATGTTTCCTTGGCTGAGCTCGGTGCTCTGACCATCGCGCCGCATACTCCATCCCCAGAGACTGCGATCCTGACCACCACTAAGTAGCCACTTGTTGCCCGCGTCGGCTCCATCAAAGTCGGAAGGAAGGAACTCCAAGCACTTGACGGGTGCGGCATGACCGCTGCGCTGGTGCAAGATACGCGGGATCGCGGAGAAGGGTGTCTCGTCAAAGATCCACGTCTTGAGCGCGTTGTCCCGTCCACTGGTGACAACAACCGGCTGTCCTGATAGGAACTCAACCTTGCTGATGCCTCCTCGCACCAAGGGACCGTCGCCGGACGGCGGGTTGTGCGCACTCCTCAAAACACCCATGACCCTGCCCCCGTTGTTCAGGTCCCAAAACGTGACGTCTCCTGTGGCAGCGGTAGCGGTTGCCATGACACCGTCCTTGCGGCCGTCGTGACCTGCACCCATGCCGTCGGATCTGAAGGAGATGGAAGTGACGGGTTCATCGTCGTGGCCGGCCTTGAGTTGGATAATTGGCTTATCGGTCAGGATGTTCTGAACCACCAAGTTGCCGTTCGCGTAGGCAATGGCAAGGAGTGACAAGGCCGTAGTGGGCTGCATGCAGGTGACGGCGCCGCAGTCGGGGGTCGGAGGGAGGATGGTGTAAATGAGTTTGCCGGTGCTGACGTTCCAGATTTCGACCCAACCGTCCTTGCGACCGACGAAAATCTTGTTGAGGTAGGTGGGCATGTTGGTGACGCCGCCCGTGATCTCGTTAGCGCCCGACTTGCCAGCCATGGTGTAGAGTGTGGTGTAGTGCTCCAGCGTGGCCGACTTCCAGACCTCGAGTCTCGTCACAGCGCATCCGACGATCCATGAGCCGAAGATGAGGATCTGTTGGATAGGCTCATTGAGATCTTCGGGGAGCTCGAGCTCCTCAACTTTCTTTCCACGCTTGTATGCCCAGAAGCCCTGCTTCTCGCCCTTTCTGGCGTCGCCCCATGCGGCGAAAACCTTGTCCTTCCATGCGAGCGTCGTGGTGATGTCGGCCGGAGTCTGGGGGCGAGTGACGAAGACCAGGTTGAGACCTCTCTTTAAATCGTAGGTCTGAAGGGCTCGTCCTACAGATGTCGTAATTTGGAAGGTCGTCTTGCCCATGGGAATCGAAGTGAAGGGGACGTTCGTGGGGGAGACGAGGCCGACAGTCTGGGAGAAGCATTGGCATTAGCATTGAAAGTCCTGGATCATCAGTATTAGCAGACATACTCGGAAAGGCGCAAAGATGCGCGAGGACTGGCGTGTGGCGGTCGCCGGCTTGGAAGCGACAGTAAGCTTCTGTCGCTTGACCAGAGGCCCTTCGGGCTCCGAGTGAGGCATTGTGGCGAGCATGTGGACTCTGCGGACTGGGACGCCTTTTCCGGGATGCGTTTCGTTCGAGGCCTTCAGACACTAGCTGTCGAGTCGTCGCCCGAGATTTTTTTTTCGATCTTTTCGAATCAGACTTGGCTTATCTTATCGCGATTGGAGTTTCGCCGGGCTTCAGCCGGCTGGTCAAGATGGCCCCGCCATGGACGATTGAGGGGCGCGGGGCAAGTCCAATTGAGCGCATCTGATTGGTTGAAAGCTTTCATCCTGCGAGTTTCCCAAAACGGCTGACTTGGGTATTCCACGACCAGCTCATGGAATGAAGGATGTCTTCAGGACGATGATCACCGCATATGAAGGGCGCCACGCATACGTATTAGTCGTTGAAGTTCTTGCACCGGGTTGTGGTCAATACATGAGCCCTGATATTTTTCTCTTCTTTGGATCCCGATCGGCTCTATGGTGGTTTGAACATTGGACTGCAGATTCAAGAGCTTGCATCGGATGAAATCATGAGGTTGCGTCCGCTAGAGCCTAGAACATTTCATCCAGTCTTTGGATTTGGGACAAGCTTATCGTGCATGCGTAGGTGAGGGGTGGAAGACTAGAAAGGCGCCATTGATTGAGGCTCGAGGTGTCAGAAGCTGCGTTCAGCATCGTGATTCGCCGGAAACCGTAGCTGGAGCGCTTCCAGCTTGACAACGTTAGCGACCAAGTCCAGCTGTCAAGCGCTGGCTGCATGAGAAACCTGACCTATGGGTACATTTCAAGGTCTCGGTTGGTGTTGCTGGCCCCCCACCTCTTTTCACCGTCTCCAACGTCATCCTTGCCCTGCGTCTAGAACGTTTTTCTCTCCCACTCAATTCCCCCCTCCCTCGTTGCATTCTCTCGAGTGCCATGTCTTGGCTTGTGGGATTTCTAGAAAGTCCTTCTGCTTTACGGAGTAGTGTGAGGTAGGTACCCTCGCTTGTGTCTCCCGACGCCGCCCCGCCCCGCCACTTTGTCTCACTCTCAAGGCATATATTTGCATCATCACGCTCGCGGCAGTACCTGGGCATTGGTGGTGTCGCAATCGCTCTTCCAGCTCGAGAACACGGGAACAGCACAAGCTACTGACTCTTTTATGTGTACCTCGAGGAGAAAAGAAGGCAGGGACAACCCGGTTCTCTTGTGTGTCACGATTGCCTGGCATTCTGAGTTCTCTAACCTCGGTGGTCCAATGGGAAGGACACGCATGCCGCACGCCCATGTTCTGGCGTCGCTTTCTTCATCTGCCATTTGGAAGGTACCTCATTACTTCGTACCAATAACCTTTTTCATCTGGATGCAACAGCGAGCCCTCAACTCCAAATTTCTCGCCATAGACTTCACGTCATTTAAGAAACCCAAAAAAAAAAAAAAAAAAGTCTGCCACTTTCTCTCATCCCGGTGGAAACCCCTCATCTTCCGTCTTGTCGTCTTGCACCCTTCACCTTGAGAGGCTCCAGCACCCTGATCGCTGGGTCGCTGTTACCTTGTTCGCCCCCTTCAATTCTTGCAACCAAGGTACGAATACGGTACGAACCAACCAGAGAACAAAGCATCCAAGCACAAAAGAGAAAGAAAAAAACTTGCAAGGCTGTAGCGTCTACGGTTCAGGTCCAGCAAACGTCGAGTCAGCAGCCGCCCCTCCAATACCTTCCATCTGATCAGTGCGCGTCCAAAAGGCCCTTCCATTGCCTCTGGGCGCATCTGGCAACATGGACCGACCGAATTTTAACACTCGACGATCCGTAGATAGTGCTCGCTCGGCTACCACTACCACTCCTGCTTCCCCTGCCACTGCCGCCGCGCCTGCTTCTCCCCTCAACCCGCACTCTTCTCAAACTTCGTCATCCCCTTCCCATACGACAGAAAACACCTCTGCTCCTACCGACATCCCTCTGCGATCGAGACCCGGACGCTCCATCTCGCATTCCCTCAATCTCTCCTCCTCTGCCAGCAGGAAGAGCCGACATGCTGAGCCTGGAACCACCGACGCCCACTCTGCCTCTGCTAGCCTTTCCATGCCCCCGCCCTCTTCGATTCCTCTAAAGAGCCCCCGAGGTTCTCTCTGCCGCACTCGTCGAGAATCAAACAACTCGCTCGAAGCCTGGAGCGATTCCACCTTGCAGTTTGCCGACGTCGACGAGCTCGACAATACCCCACGCCTCATGTCTGGGTCTAGCCAGCAAGATTCCACCGCCCCATATCGCCCCCTCCCAGAACCCGCCCTCACATCCCGATCTTCTTTTTCTTCCGAGTCCGACCTCAAGGACAAGCGCACATCGGTTTCCAGCATCTTTTCCGTCTACTCCCTGGCCTCGGCTCGCGGTGCCGCCCCAACTTCGGTCCCCGCCACCCAATCCTCCGCTGCTTCGACGAACGGCTCCGACGGTGGCCCTTCGCGCTCCGTTTCCGGCATCATGTCGTCAGGAAAACCTGTCACGAATGCCTCGCAGCCCGGTGCCGAGCTCTCCAACGTCACTGTAACCACCTCCTCCAACGGTCAAAATGCCAACGCCGCCCCAGGTGGTCATCATCTTGCACCGCGCGAGACCAATACCCATACGCACCACGAAGTTATCAAACGACCTCCCCGTCCCGCCCAGCCAACTCGATCCCGCAGCCGCAACAAGCGCAGATTCAGCGGAAGCACTGGTGCTAGCAGCCACAGCCCCAGCAGCGATCGGGGACCCTATCACAACAAGGAGAAAGAAGAGGGTCAGTCAAGAGATACAAGCGCGCCTCGACAACGTATACCGACAAGCTCTAATGCACCTGCAGTCAAGCCAGCGCCTTGGGGTGTTATTGGAGTGTGCGCTTTGGATGTCAAGGCCCGCAGCAAGCCTAGCAGAAACATTCTGAACCGACTCATTGCTAATCGCGAGTTCGATGTCGTTGTGTTTGGTGACAAGGTCATTTTGGACGAAGGTAAGCCGCTGTTTCGCCCCAATGGAGAGGATCAACCCAAGTTCGGGCAAATTTGGAATACTCAAGCTGCATCACGTCGAAGACTTTGCTAACCGTTGTTTTCGTAACGTAGAGGTCGAGAATTGGCCCATGTGGTGAGTAATTATGATTTCTTATGTCTCGCCGACGGCTCGGTGAGCCAAAACAGCATAGCTTCTTTCTGCATCACCAATCCTCCAACCCATGCACAATGAATCTCCTCTCTCACCAAACTCCCACCATCTATAGGCATCCCCATTCACTCCACTCTCTGTTCATCTGTAGCCTCCGAGGCCATCACGAAAGTAGTTTTATTGCGTAGTTGTACTAACACTTACCTCAGTGATTACCTCATCTCTTTCTACTCGGATGGCTTCCCATTGGATAAGGCAATTGCCTACGTCAAGGCGCGAAAGCCGTTCTGCGTCAACGATGTGCCGATGCAGAAGATCCTCTGGGATCGTCGTCTATGCCTCAACATTTTGGACGGTATTGGCGTGGCTACGCCGAAACGCATCGAGGTGAACCGCGATGGCGGGCCAAAGCTTTTAACCCCAGACACTGCGAAACATATCAAGGAGATTACTGGTATAACCTTGGATGCCGAAGACCTGGGCTACAACAGGCTCCCCCGCAAGGTTGAACTGCTCGACGACGGGGATATTCTCAGCGTCGACGGCGCTCTGCTCAAGAAGCCCTTTGTCGAGAAGCCTGTCAGCGGTGAAGATCACAATATCATCATCTACTTCCCCAAGTCCACCGGTGGTGGTGCCCGCCGGCTGTTCCGCAAAATCGGCAACAAGAGCTCCGAGTACGATCCAGACTTGAACATTCCTCGCGCTATTCTGGAGCCAGAGAATAGTTATATCTACGAAAAGTTTATGAGAGTCGACAATGCCGAGGATGTCAAAGCCTACACTGTGGGGCCCACGTACTGCCACGCAGAGACTCGGAAATCTCCCGTCGTCGACGGTGTTGTAAGGCGAAACACGCATGGCAAGGAGCTGCGTTATGTTACAGCCTTGGAGCCCGAAGAGAAGGAGATCGCGAGCAAGATCTCAACTTCTTTCGGCCAAAGAGTCTGCGGCTTCGACTTCCTACGAGCGGGTGGCAAGAGCTATGTCATCGACGTCAACGGTTGGAGCTTCGTCAAGGACAACGACGATTACTATGATCACTGCGCCAACATTCTCAAGGACGTCTTCGTCAAGGAGAGACTTCGCAGAGGCGGCGTCACCTCTCCCGCGCCGTCGCCTTCTCCCTCGGATATGACCGACCCATTGGCATCTCGCGGAAAGGAGAAGGAGGCTTCGCAACCTATTCCTGTACCACAGGCGCAGAACAAGTCCGTGACCAATATACCGGCTGTTTCTGAGAAGCTGCCCCAGGAGCCGAAGCCCGCACCAGCGAGTGCACCACCTCAAAAGTCGGAGAGTGCACTCCCCTCTGCTGTCACTAGTTCATGTACCAGCCCTACTCTCCCTCCTCCGCCTCCGCTGGTAGATCCTACTATTGCGAGCGTCCCTTCCACCGTGGGAACGGGGTCGGCCACTCCATCCGCCACGCCTTCACTGCAAGGAGAGGGCACCGCGCCTCCGGCAGAGGAGACTCCGGTGCCGCCGCCACCACCAAAGCACTCTTGGAAACTCAAGGGTATTGTGTCCGTCATTCGACATGCTGATCGAACTCCGAAGCAAAAGTACAAGTTCACCTTCCATACAGCGCCCTTCATTGAGTTACTCAAGGGACATCAGGAAGAGGTGCTCCTCATTGGAGAGGCAGCTCTGGCCAGCGTATTGCAGGCCGTGGATGTTGCCTTGAAAGCTGGCGTGGAAGATCGCGCAAAGTTGAAGTCGTTGCGCAATGTCCTCGTGAAGAAGGGCGGTTGGGCTGGCACCAAGGTCCAAATCAAGCCAATGTTCCGGAAGAAGAAGACGGAAGAGGTCGCAGTCTCGTCGGGCGATGAGCTTTCGCAAGTCTTGAAAGAAGGCGTCCAGACGGATTTCGCAGAGAAGCCTGACGACGGCGCCGCAAAGACGGAAAACTCATCACCATCTAGGATGCCACCCAAGAGGCATGACTCTCTGTCTGGTATGACCATGTCCCGCATCACAGCCGCAGAGGAGAGCTTGGTTTTGGAGAAGCTTCAGCTCATTGTGAAATGGGGCGGTGAGCCGACACACTCGGCACGCTATCAGGCCCAGGAACTGGGCGAGAACATGAGGAACGATTTCAACCTGCTTAACCGAGATGTTCTTGATGAGGTCCACGTCTTCAGCAGTTCCGAACGCCGCGTTACAACCAGTGCGCAGATTTGGGCCTCTGCTTTCCTGGATCGCAAAGACCTACCTGAAGACTTCATCACTATCCGCAAGGACTTGCTCGACGACTCCAACGCTGCCAAGGACGAGATGGACAAGGTGAAGAAGAAGTTGAAGGGTCTTCTCCGCAAGGGTAACGAGCGACCTTCCCAATTCGCTTGGCCGGAAAAGATGCCCGAGCCATCAGAGGTTCAGACGCGTGTTGTCCAACTCATGAACTTCCATCGTCGTGTGATGCACTACAACTACAGCAAGCTGCACAACGGTAGTGCCGTTGCTTCCTTGAATAACGCCATTGCCAACCCGGGCTCTGAGAAACCTGTAAATGCCGAGGCATCAGGTTCGACAAGCTCCATGTCCTCGTCCCCGTCTCAGACAAATGCGGTGAGTAACATCCAACCCAGATGGTGTTGTGGCGAGGACTCCGAGCTCTTCAGGGAACGCTGGGAAAAGCTTTTCGCGGAGTTTTGCGACGGAGAAAAGGTCGATCCTAGCAAGATCTCTGAGCTCTACGACACGATGAAGTTCGATGCTCTGCATAATCGGCAGTTCTTGGAATGGGTCTTCACACCGCCCAAAGCCATGCTAGAGGAGGAGTACGGTATCAAGGACAAGGAAAAGGACAAGGACAGCAAAGACGGCAGCAAAGACGGCAGCAAAGAGGTCAAGACTGCCGAGAAGACATCCGATGAGGGGAAGTCGTCGCAGGACTCCCGCGAGGAAAGACGGGATTTTTCGGGATCCAGCGATAAGGCAGACAAGAGCGAAGCCAGCAAGAGCTCGACATCTGTGAGACGTATCTTCCGACGGCGGTCGTTCCTCAACGGTCTGCGGCACGTCGAGGCAGCCCCGCCTGAACAGTACTTCCACCTCTACAAGGGTAATACCCAGACCAAGGCAAAGACTGATGCCAGGTTTGAGCCGTTGCGGGAATTGTATCAGCTTGCCAAGGTTCTATTCGACTTCATCTGTCCTCAAGAGTACGGTATCTCTGATGGGGAGAAGCTGGAAATTGGTCTTCTGACGTCGCTGCCGCTGCTCAAGGAGATTGTCCAGGATCTTGAAGAGATGCAAGCATCGAACGATGCCAAATCCTTCTTTTACTTCACCAAAGAGTCCCACATTTACACCCTCCTCAACTGCATTCTGGAAGGAGGGATCGAGACCAAGATCAAGAGAAGCACTATTCCCGAGCTCGACTATCTTTCGCAGATCTGCTTTGAGCTGTATGAATCGGAGACCAAGGCCCCTGCCGCCACACCCGACGGGGGCGAAGAGCAGACTTTTGCCTACAGTATCAGAATCACCATTAGCCCCGGATGCCACGTCTTCGACCCGCTGGATGTCCAATTGGATAGCAAGCATTGCATCAGCTGCGCTCCGCGACGCAGTCTGACCCCTCACGGCGACTGGATGCAAGTGATCCGCACTCTGAGGGCCAAGTTTAACCAGTAAGTTTCCATTCACCAAGTGGCTTTGCTGACGGTTGGGGTGTGATGCTAACGAGTTGTATTGCAGAGTCAAACTTCCCAAGACGTTCCTCGCAGTGAACTTGTCAGATCTCTTTTCCGTCGAGGATCATGAACGACGGGATAGTGACAGCGAGGGGCTCGAAATGAAGGGATTGCATCCCAAGCCGAAGGTATCAGAGCAGCATACCACTGCACAGTCAGAAGTTGAGAGCGGGATGGGTAAGGAAGAGCTGGTCTCAGCAGGCCAAGCTCTTGCATCAGCCTCATCAGTTGTCATGGAAGATGAGGAACCCGTCAGCCCGAGAACCAAGCCTGACGCTTCAACTGAGACAATCTCCCAGGTGACAGCAGAGTCTACTGAGTGATCGAGTAGACATGCTGAGCTTATATCTTGTAGTCATCGACACAGGATCACAAAGATACGGTGGGAGGTACATGATATGAGGAAAGCGACAAACAGGAGGCGGAAAACATGAGTAGCATGGATAGACTTGAGCGCATTATTAGCAACGATAGCGGGAAAATCAAACAGTATCATCCAAGATCTTGGCAAGTCACTGGCAATGAAGGCAAGACGATGTTGAGGTGCAATGTCATTGGAGTTGTCGTCAGAAGTTGAATGTGACGCGGGCCGAGCTCGTCCACGGTCCAGTAGAGAGGTCTTGTGGCCTGGCCCAAAAGAGAGTCCCATCCATGGTACCGTACCACTGCTCGGCAAAAGGGAACAACATGGCATCTCGCAAGGTCGGCAACAAAATGGATGATGCACACCGCAATTCCGCATCACCCCTATGGTAAATCCCATGAGGTGCAGTTCCGGCTGCAGGGGTTCAGTGCCTTGAAGTGACCCTGAAGCGCATGGCAAAGGACGGATATCCGTTGCAACTACCGCGGAGGCGAGACGAGAGAGATCCTGAGGTAGTATTTAGAACAAATACCTCGTTGTATCTCGAGACAGCTAGTCTAGGGGGGCGACGGATCATGGTTACGACCGTTTTCCGAGCAAGGCCATCTGTCTGGCTCGCTTGTAAGTTTGATATGGATGCCGAATATCGACGAGGGGTCGGCGAAAAAAGGTTTCAGAATCGACAGATGTGAGAAGGTTAGGTTTTTTTTGGCGACTCGGAATTGCAAGTCCGGTGCTTGTGATTACCAGGTTCGTCCCGCCCGCCCAGTTCGTCCAAGGCGTGATGAAATCTGGTCCTACCTTACTTCGGACTGGGGGGGGAGGGGTCCCAGATTGACGGCGATGGACAAGGTCCGGACTTCAGACGCTCCCGCGTGCCGCGTGTGGATCATTCTTCACCACGCCCCAGAATTTTATTCTGGATCGGATCAGGCAAATGGCCAGATGTGGACAAGGGACCTGGAAGTCCCGCAACGTTGAAATTCGATGAAGGTGTTGCCTGTGGCATGGAGGCCCGGAGGATAAGAAGAAAAGCCTCTTGCAGTTCGTACTGTAAAGACGGATGTGGTTGCGTGCCTTCGAATGCTTCTGAACCCTGGTTCATCATAGTCCACGAGAGTTGCGCGCGCTGTGTCTGCACTCCTTCATCTTCTTCATCCTCCTCAAAGGAGAGGAAAAGAGTCCTGAAACGGCCGGGCTGTGATTTGTGTAGCCATCCAATAGCGGCAAAGCGGTCTCGCAGGGACAGGCTTCCGATCCACAAGGATGAGCAAGGAAGTGATTCAGAGGGACCTCGCCCAAAGTAGTGTCTTTCTTCGACTTCTCGAAACTATCGGGTCTGGGGCCCTTCGACGCCTGGCCGAAGGGGGGTTTGGTGAGGAGCCAAACCTACGTGCTGCCTCGGCCTTAGGTACTTTGTCGTCAGAAAGGGTCGTTGAGAGGGTTGCTGGATGTCTCCAAGGCCAGCTGAGCACCATCTCCAACCTTGTCCGGGTCAGTCGATGTTCCGCTGATCTGTGTGGCTAGAATGGGCAATTCGAGCTTGCTTGAAGGAAGGTTGCGATTATTGCCATCAGTGTCGCTATTGCGACCGACTGCGGCGGGCGAATCCTGATTGTTGGTTGTTATGAACCGTGGGCAGGGGTGGCTTGAGCAGATGCTCTCTTAGCTTTCAAGGTGTTGAAAAGCACGAAGAAGACGACCGCAATTTTCGCTACGGGGATACGTGGCCAGTGAAGAATACTAGCCGTAGACGTGCCCGGGATGTCGCAAATGAAATCAATTATGGGTAGAAGAAGAAGAAGACCATCAGTCGACATCCTCCGGCAGTTCACGTGGAGTTATCGAAGATGAGCATCACTGGCGTATCGGTAGTAAACTATAGCGTGAGGAGGTACAGATTTGACATAGTGATATCGCGAATCCGATGCCATTTGACCGATGCCATTTGAAAGAAGGCTATCAAGAAGTCGTCTCGGAGCAGAGTCTCCTGAGATCGATTAACGACCGTCAAGAAACGATAAATCTACCTCGGCAAGTGGGTGACCAAATGGGATGCCGCTCAATACCCTCCCTATCTCTTTTTCTACTATTCTTATTACCACTATTACTCTTATTATATCTATATTACACTTTCTTAGATATATTTATACAGAATGTATAAAAAAAAATGAAGAGGATGAATAATAATGATAATGAGAAGGATAGAAATAGAGGTAGGTACTTCGTGCTGGGCGGCAAACCATTGTGTCACCCACTTGCTCGGCAAACTTTCATTTGTGTTGTGCCTTGATTGAGAAGATCTTGCTGCGAGATGGTGGCGTGATCTGGAGAATGCTTGTCGTGAGTACGATGGCGACTGGTGGAGTATATCGGCTAGCATGCTGTTATACGGATACCCCGAGTGACCACTAAGACCATCAGCGAAGAAGCTGTTGAATACGGGCACGGAGTAAGGCCCGGATCCAATCAAGCCGTCTCGCGTCAGAACATTGAGAGAATCGCCGAGAAGTTTGCGAAGAACCAAAACCATCACTTATCGGTTGATTCGGCATCGCGTCGAGGCTCGTACAATGGTACGGATGCAAGTGGGTGACAAAATGGGATGCCGCTCAATACTCTCCCCATCTCTCTTTCTACTATTCCTATTACTACTATTATTCCTATTATTATTAACGTACTTGATAAGCGAGCTGCCCTCCTAACCATAATCACATTATAAATCTAACTAAGGAGCAACACTAAAAACATAAAATCAATTGAAACTACTCTGAATCCTATTCCTCAGATATTTCTTCATTAAACTGACATGTTCGCGCATTATGGCCAGTGTTTCCGCAGACGCCACATCGCCGTTGACCTGTTTCTGTCCTCGGCCGACGACCACTACTCTGGCGCGTTTCCTCCTCAATCTGGGCCGTAGCCTCTCTCTGCGACTGAATTTCCTCTGCCTCAGCTACAGTAAGACTTCCTCCTTGTCTGAGACGTGTTTTCTTAGCCCTCCTGCGTCGGCTAAGTAGGTTATTTTCCTCCCGGAGGATCTGGACCTCCGACCTTAATAAGGCAATCTGGTGCATAAATCCCCGCGCTCCCTTTGATAAATGCTCTACAGCTTCAATAATTGAAGTTGGGGAGCTATTCTGATGGCGGGAGATCCTCCTTTTGATGAGTTCGGACTGAGAAGAGGCCTCTATTGGGTTATTTGGCGTCTAAGAAGTCCACGCGGGGGGTGTTGTTGGTAGGGACCCTGGGGGTGTTGGAGTGTATAACTTGACATCAAGCTTCGAAAGCACACTTTCGGCACTCAAAGGAACAAGCCCGGCCCCTCTGAAGCCTCCCTGGATGTTTTTTACCGTTAGGGCTTGCGTGAAAGCGTTGTGAAATGCAGGGAAGAAGTCCTCCTTCGTAATATGGGTATTACCCCGGCGCATCTTATCCTCAATTTGTCGACCATAAGCCGTCTTTAGTGGCCCAAAGCACCCAACGTCTAAGGGCTGAAGTAGATGAGACGAATGGGCCGGCATGCAGAGTGTGACGATATTGTTTTCCTTGCAATATATCTCAAAGTCCGCAGAGTGGTGACTTTCGTGCCCATCGACGACGAGGAGGCGATAACTGCTAGTTGCACGCGGTTTTGTATGCCGATCAAAGTGCTGGAGCCAGTCTAGGCCTCTTTCATTTGTTGTCCATCCGTTTTCAGACGTTGCGATGACCCAGTCGCGTAGGAGATCTGTTTCTATATACCAGGTGGAGAGGTGATATTGGCCTGCAACGATGATGTACGGCGGAACGCTATAGCCTGACGAACTGATGGCCTGAATGACTGTAACCCATTCACGATTGCCAGGCTGTATCATTTTTGTGTTTGAACGCCTTTCGGCACTCGTGACGACCATCCCGGATGCAATCTGGCCCATCATAAACCCAGTCTCGTCGAAGTTGTAGATATCGGAGTCCATAATGCCGTATTTCGCGATTGTGTTCGCCACAAGCCGAAACCACGCGTTTATCGCGTCTGGATCTTCACATTGGGCCCTCTTATAGTCGTACTTACGAAAAAGCGCGTCCGGAGCTGTGGTTGTCGTTTAACGAAGTTTGAAGCCCAGCGCTTCCCAACTGGGGGCGCGTCGTGGTCGACGAGCAATCGATTGGCCATTTCTTCCACACCACTGATCCGGGGAGGAAACGATCGGGAATCCAGGTCGAGGATATACTCAACTAGCTTCTCCTCTTCAAGCTCCGTCAATTTGCGTGAGTTAGGTATAGTATCTTGTCGTGCAGGTGTGCCTTTTAATCAGGTGCCTAGGGTCCTAGGGGGGACTGAATAGATTCTTGCTGCGGCTCGAATGCTGAGTTTAGGGTTTTTTTTTGGATAGCCTCGACTGCTAAGTTTAATTGGGCCTCTTTGCTTTGTGACGACATGATTATTTGTGGCGTGATACGCATTAGAAGTGAGGAGGAAGGATGAACGCGGTTGGGTGGGCAGCTCGCTTGTCTAGGCAGCTCGCTTATCAAGTACGTTATTCTTCTTATTATTAGTATTATTATTGTATCTATCTTATACTTCTTTAGACGTATTCTATATAGAATATTAGGAAAATCATAATGATAATAATGATAATAGAAAAGTTAATGATAGGAAGAATAGAAATAGAGCTAGCTACTTTGTGTTGGGCGGCAATCCATTGTGTCACCCACTTGGGATGAAAATGTGATAGTGTCTCCCTGAAGGACAGGCGGGTCGGTGACAACATTTCCAAACGTCCATATTATTCAGGTTTTGAGTCCAAATCTAGGACAACAAAATTGAGCGGGGCGAGAGAAAAGATGTCTCTCTGACAATATGATTTGGCGTTGTTTTCGACTTGAGCCAGTGGTCGCCCCTTGTAGCGAGGTGCAGATCTTGGCCGGCATCAAACGGTCAGGGTGCATGTACATCCTTGCCAGCCAGTCACATCATCTCGAGGAGTCGGATTTGCTGGTTGGTCGGTCGCGTCAGTCTACTGCCATGCTCATGGTCTTCTGGCATTTGACCGGCACCGCTTTCGTTTCGTCGAAAGGGTGTGAAGGTAATCGTCCCAACTTGACCGAGTGTGGTCCTTGCCGGGGCGCTGTCGAACCACAGTCCAAACCCCCATGTTCGAGTGAGCCGGGAGGGAGGGAAGCAGCGCGACGTACCGCGCTGCAGCGAGTAACATGGGACCATCCATGATCATATCAAGGGTTCGGCGATGCGTCGTCGTAAGCGGTTATTCAGAGCATCGGAGGCGGGCGAAAAGATTTGCTTGTCATCGGGAAGCCAAAAGACGTGGAGATGATGGGTGAGATTCTGCGGACAAGACTGGAATTTGGTCTCGTGGGTGGGGAAATGAGGGCGGCCGCGGAGTGAGCCTGGAGTCTTGTGAGGCGCAATTTTCATACCTGCAAGTCAATGAGGCCGGCCGGTCTGGAGCCAGCGCGGAGCGGAGAGCCTCGACCTTGTTGTTGAGTTCGTAGAGGAACGGGAAACACAGAGAGGGCGGAAAGCACCGAACACGGCGAGTTGAGCTCGGCCATTCAGCAGGGCCTAGAAAAGTGGCTCTGAACAGGGCAAGCCGCCGCAAAAGTGAGAAGCGACAAGCGGGCGAGGACTCAAGATAGCTCCATGTATGTATCCGTGTCTGTGTCCGTGTCTGTATCCGTAGCGTACGGAGTAGTCAACTTCGTCTTGTAGTCTTGCTGGCGGCCGAGGCTCTTGAGGATTTTCAGTGCTGGCACCAAATATTGGATGCTTGTCGATCATATTGACAGGCGTAGGATGCAGTGTGACGCTGTGACTATATGTAAGAATGCATCCGTCGCTCGACGACAATCAAAAAGGACAACTGAAGCAGCGGTGGCCGGGTATTGACGCAATAGACATTACGTGAATGGAGGGGTTGAGGGAAGCAAGGCTTACGTAGTCCCATGCATGGCATCATGTGGAAATTAGAGGAAGAAGATGCCCGCAGCTAGCAGCCAGCAGCAAGCAGCCAGCTCCATGGTCAATGTTGAAAGGAAGGACGAGGAAAGGCGGCCGACACGACGGCAGGGGATTGAAGTCAAAATGGAAGGCCGTTCCAACGTCGTGGATGAGCCGCTAGGACCCAGCGGGCCAGATGTGACTGTTCCCGCCATTGCCATTGGCAATGCGACAGGAGTGGATGAGAGGTGGATTTGAGAAGCGTGGCATGGAGGTCATGTGATGCCAACCGAGACAAGCCACGATCCAGGGCAAGAGCAATGGTGTTTACAGCCTGAGGTCAGGAAGGTAGGTACCTACGGCAAAGTACCTTGAGTGACGAGGCAATTGGTGTTTCTACATATGTACCTTCTTCCCTGGGCGCGGAATGGAAGGAATAAGGGTGAGAAACTCTGTTCTTTCCAATTGAGCTGAAGTTGGAGACGGGGCATCACGGCATGAGGCAGGTGCGCCGAGTTAGGTAAGAAGGCGCCGGGAGACATTTTGGAGCCTCTTCCTTCCACATTGATGACTTGGACTGCGGGCAGGAGTTAAGGTACCTTGGAATTAAGGGAAGTTGCTCCAGATATCCAGGCTTGCCCAATTGGTATTCGTACCATTCGCTGCCGCTGCGCCCTTGCTTCCCTCCATCCTGTTCTTCAGGCACTTGTCCGTACTCCGCAATGTACTTCGTACTTAAGGTACTACTCCGTACGGCTACCGCATGAGCAAGAACGCGGGTGGCACCAGGGGATCTCGGTCGACGGTCAAAGCTGATGTGCGCTGCGTTCGCCTTGCCTTGTCATACCCAAGATTGTTGGAGACAGGAGTTGGTGGGCGAGCCGCGAACCTCCGGCTTCCTTCGGTGTTCAAGACTTCAAGTATTTTGGAATTGAGATAGACCTATTGCAGCCTGACCGGTCTGGAAAGTGTGGTGCTGCGCTGGCAATCGGTCTGGGAAGACATTGATCAAATAATGCTCGCTACCGTACCTTAGGTACCCAAGGTTGGTTGACGAAGAAAGCCAGCCACCTGGACTCCCTTTGTTGTCTCCCTGCGACTGCCAAAACACACAATTTTCAATCCGGGCAGCATGCAGCTTTCAACTTTGGGATGCCACCACCAGCATGGCACGCCGCACACCAACCTGAAGGTTGTGTGGGTTTCGCCTGCCAGGCCTGTCAAGGAAGGAAGCTTTGACGTTGAGTTTCCCGTCCTTGCCCAAGTAGGCGCTTTGCAGAAGGTGGAACTTTACCTCACCCTAAGGTAAGCAAGCTAACGCCCGAGGCTATTTCGCAACTCCAGTCCGAAAGCTGCAACATCCACACCAATCACTCCAGCCCGGCAATCCTAGTGTAAAGCCTGGAGCCTGAATGCAATGTGAGCGTTCGCAACGAACAAGGCAGCGTCCGCGGTGGACGTTCGCTTCGGCACGGCAGCTTCAACTTCATACCAAACGCCGTCATCTTGGCCACCTTAGCTTCAATACCGCTTACTACTACCTTCCTTACCTTGCATTACCTACACGTGTCGATGCCTTGCCACTGTTCACAGGAAGAGAAAAGAAGACAACAACTCATGCCCGGAGTAATAGTGGCGTCTGTTCCGGCCACTCGTCATCTCTTGTCTCTATCCGCCTCTGGCGCGCTTCTTTCCTCTCTGCTCCATTACGGCGTATCCGTACACTACTCCGTACTCTACCCTAATGCTTAAGGTAAGCTGCCTTCATCCACACCTTCTCCGTTTTCCAGAAGCTCCGCGTTGCATGGTGGACTGACTTTGACATGGTCCACGGTAGGCTAATCACCCTGGCTTCAAACGGCGGCCCAGACCCCGGCTCGCCAACTCGGAAAGACAACCTATTTGTTCGCGCCAGGGCTTTGAAGCCGTTTCTGTAAGGCATGACAGCTGTTTCGCAATGGGTCATTGCCCCGTTTCTCGCAGCACTATCTCGGGATTCCTCCCTCGTCGGTCCGTCCAGGCTACTGGCCCGAAGAGCCTTGTCAGAGCACGCCGAACACAACGGAGCCTGCCGGTACTCCTGTTCGTCGTCAACAGGTATGATTACACAGTACCTGGCCGAATCCGGCCAAACTTGGGTCATGCGGCTCACATACATACATACCTTGTACGGAGTAGCAGTTTACAGTACTGGACTTCGTCTGCCCGTATTCGTTCAGTCTTCACCTCCCTCCATGATTTGGACAGCCTTCACGGTTGCGTGATACGGATAGCACCCTCAGAACGATACCCCAGCTGTTCGCAGATGCTCCCCTTGCGATGCTACACGACACAAGTCTTTTCCGATACTCTGCTTTCTAACTCAGTGCCCGGTGTTTGGACATCGCCGCTCGTTCTACTTCGTACATTCTACCGCCACGGATACCTGCGCAAGTCGCGGCTAGTGCAGAACTTGCCGGCGTTCGGCACCATCCTAGTTTCCTTCTTGTGGGTTTGCAATACTGGCAACGCCCCAACGGCCCAATCCAACCCATCATTCAAGCTAAAGCCTCGTCCGCCTTGCCCTACCAAAGAACATTCGATGAAAGATTTGAATGTCGCTAGGCTGGCTTCCCATTGGGGGCACAAAAGGATTTTCCCCGCCATGGGTGCTTCTGGGCAGTGGATGCAGGTAATCTGGTCTCAGTGGGCACAAGCGAAGGTGGGAGAAGAAGAGAAGGAGAGCAAAAAAGATCTGCCACACAATGCATGGTCGGCCCAGTCAGTGGCCACGAGCTGATCCCCTGCAAAGGTCCTGCGGGTTTGCCTCGATGCGGACAAGACTCAACTGCCACATTTGCAACCTCTTTCCTTGCCCTTAACTTGAGAATATTAAGTACCACCTCATGATACGCGCGCAGCATCTCGGAAAGCAAGAATCGTTCGCTTGGCCACGGCAATTTCTGTTCGAGAAGATAGGCGTTGCAGAGGCATATGCAGCATCGCTGCGCTTGTCGGGTGCCTAACCGGCGTGGCTGACTTCTCTCTTCTTGCCCGACTATCCGTAGGAAGGATGCTGCTTTCGTTGTAACAGAATGCTGTTTTTTCTGGCAGGACACCAGTAACTGCAATGATTTTCTGGGGCGTTCCCCCACACATGGCCAAACCCAACTCACCCACCCTGTCTGAGAGAGTCCCGAGCCGCACGGAGAGATTCGTGGCGCAAAGACACAACGAGGAACCGGATCGAAAAGGATCTTCGCCTCTGGCCGCTTGGCTGCAAATGTACCGCTCTGGGCCGGAGATAATCTGCCCATACAACAAGCAGTCTATCTTCACCAAGGAAGGTTGCGACCTAGGCCGCACCATAGCCATAACAGCCCATACAGCCTAGACTCAAGTCCGGAAACCTACGTCGTTACATTGGCACTCGAGCATGGCAGGCCTCTTTCGCTCTCCAAAGAGACCTGGACCTTGAAAGTGTTCGTGGTGAAGTCATGGGTTCTCCATAGCACGGGCCTGTCGACCGTTCTGCCACCATGCATGCCCGCAAGGACATTCAGACTTGGTGCTCCAGACAGGACGGTGTATCCGGAGGCCCGGTCGTACTGTATCCGATCCACTGCTGACCCCAGAGTGGCCTTTACGGATACCAAGTAATACATAGCTCCGTGCATGGTATCGTCAGCAGAACGAGCCAATCGGACGAGCAACTCGGGAGCCGGAGCAGGACGCCCTGCCGTCTCTCTACCTGAGAGAGAGCCTTTGCTGTTATTCTTGGTCCATGTCATACCCTGGGTATTGTTGATTGCTCTCCTCTTCCGCCAGCAAATGTCAACGGCATGGGACGCATTGGCTTTGAATCGTGTTTGTTACATGTCAGAACTCTGGGCCCTGCGCCACGGAACCTCGTGGCCGGATCAGGTTCCCTCTGAAGTCAAACAGAAACATTTCATCAGGCCCCACCCTCCCAAGGGTGACCAAACTTCAGCCTGCCGGAGGAGATCCCGGGGCCACAGAGGCTCAACCTGTCAGGCGCAGGGGCCTTGGATTTACATAGCAAGGTACACCGCGCACAGGGACAGTCCCAAGCTCCCAGAGCATGGTAGCCGAGCCACATGGAGGTGGAAGATTTTGTCGACTTGCAAATCGATATCGAAGTTGTCCATACAAGGCAGCTGGGAATGGGAGAACCAGATCAATTACTGTGAACGGAACAATCCAACAACCTGGCTGCCGGGCGTGGTCGGAGAAGTACGCAGCGGTTTTGCTCGGATCAGATTTGATTGCAACCAAGACGGAAAGGAGCACAGCCAGGGAATACGACGACCTCATGCTCGAGTTTCCAGGAGACGACTCAAGATCGACCAGCGTGGTCTACAATGATACAGATATCCTTGTCGCGAATGGGGATTGAGACAGAAGAGATAGAATACTCCCGTGGAAGCGGTAATGATGTGCCACGAGGCCTTGTGCAACACGAGGGAACGGCCAATACATCATGATCAAGTCACAACCAAGAGGTATCGTTTTGACGGGGTCCTGTCTGTCAAATCCCTTACTGCCGCGGCGCACGATGACCGTTGGCCATGAACGGTGGCAAGCCACGGCAAGGTATGCAGGAAAGGGGCGACGGCATTCGGCCGTATGTTGCACTAGCAAGCATCTTTATGGTTTGTCGTCTTTGCGGACAAGACGTTACTGCGTACCCAAGGGACATGGCACGCATGGCAGATGGGCAACTAAGAATGCGGAAGCCCTTTTTCTACCTTAGCTCTAGGCGATACAAAACATGGCATGCGACCACGGGTGGGTAGCGCCCGTCCTGTCTCTCTCGGGCAAAGTACCGAAGGAGTACCTTGGTCTACAACCGGGCCCCAAGTGCAGACGAAAAGAAACGGGCCGGGCCACGATGACAGGAGACGTTTTTACATGACATCCATGTAAAGACGTGGTGCTCCCGGCTTCAACAAACGAGATGGGAAAAGTGGTAGGGCCGAGAAAGCGGCATCGTTGGGTCGGTTAACCGTTGGCAGGTAGGTACCTGTCATGGACAGACAGGGCACCGTAGATGTGATGAGTCTGTCTCGGTGCTGTAACGATGCCACGTCCGGCTACATAGCTCAGCTCACTCTGAAGGTTCAACCTTTTCCCAGATCCATGTCATGGTAAGGGTACATTTGAGGAGGAATGACAGCGGTACCTTGTGGTACCGCGCCGGGCACCACAAGTCGAGCTTCTCCAACCAAGCGCAGGCGCCTCTGGAGTCTGAACTACCTTACAAGGCATATCCCGTCAGCGGCAGCGTGAGCATAGGGTACGGATGCTCGTGAAGTGTGTTTCTAGAGCTGTATCTGTACCTTAGTCCCCTTGCTGCTGTCACCCTGGGTTATGTTCAGGGTCTAATTCGAAAAAGAAAGGGTACACAACGACTGATAGATGCTTGGCTTCCCGGCCGGGGCGCCTCACGTCCTCGTCCCGTCGCAGAACTTACGGCAACGCCAACCAGAGGTTCCAGAGGCACCGGCCAGAGCCAGCCAAAGTCTGGCAGCCCTACCAGTACCGTGTTGTGCATCCATACCGGTACAGATAGACAACCTAACACCGACCAGGAGTGGAAACGGGACAGGGCAATCCAATGTCCAATCCGACGCTCCCGCTGTGAACCTTGGGACGGGCTGGGTCCGGGCGAGCGAACAGGGACTGCCAGCAACAAACAGCACTTCAGAATTCTGCCGAAGAACGGGACATGCGGTAATACCAATGCTTAGAGTTTAGACAAGCTGCGATTGTCAAATACCTTGCCTCTGTTGCATTGCAATCAGACGGTTTTCTGCCCGTGGGACCATGGTCCATCCATATAAGGGTTGCTTGAGGACCACCGGCCGGAACTTGATCGAGAGCAAAAAAATAAATAAAGGGCTCTATTACTCCGTACCTACCCCAAGCTCAAGCTGCATTGGCTCTCAACACTTTTATCTTTATTTTTATTTTTATTTTTTATCGTCATTACACCTCACACCAGCTTCCTAGTCACCTCACTCCACCTTGACCTCAGTCGAATTTTTTTTCCTTCCTCATCCCGCTGCTCGACCAGTCACACAGCATTAGCCAACGGCACTTGCCTTGGGCCTCCATTGCCATTACTGACTTTGTCTGGCTTGCATTGGCTGTTTGGGAGAAGAAGAAACCACCAAGCTTTGCTGTCAAAGCACACCTACATCACACCCGGCACTGGCCATCGCTGCCGTACCGCATCAGCACCTACCTACCGTCAGGTACCTGAGCTACCTAGGTATCTCACCTACCCAACCCAAGGTACCTACCTTTCCTTCACCAAAGGTAGCTTGATTGCCTCGGTTTTTTTTTGGGTGCTCCTCAAGTTTCCATTGTAAGTTTTTCTATCCTGCTTTCCACTCTTCTCATGCATGCCCGGATCGCACCAATTCCCTTGCTCCTTTCATATGCTTCATTCCTCCTTTTCATGACCATGTCGGCGCGACTTCCTTACTCGACATTCCTTGACATTATATGGCCCCTTCCCTGCTGCCGTCCTTTCCTGCCCAAAACCCTCGGACCATCCCGTACCTTCCTTGACACTTCGGCGTGGGGCACATCATTCTGACCCTCACCCTCACCCGACCTCACGTTCCCTGAAAGTTCTTTCCACCTTGGGTGTGCCTACCTTACCTTACGGATACGGATACCTAGACCTCACATTGAGATTCACTTTGCAACTGCACTTGCCTTGCTGTTGCACTTGCAGTTGCACTTGCACTTGTACTTTGCCCGTACTTTTTCTTCATTCGTGCCCTCGTCCTTACCCATCACATCCATGCGAACAATAGCACCTACCCACCACCGACCGGCAAACCTTCTTTCAACTTTTTCTTAAGCAAGAACCACATCCTCCGGTCTTCTTGAATTCCTCTTAAAAAAACTTAATGTTTCCGACCTCTTTCTTCCTCCCTTCCCACACTCCGCCCGCTTCGTTTAGCATCCTCTCCAAACACTCCAAGTTGACTCAGTTCTTCAACTCAGACACCTTGATTTAACAACCACCCCCTTGCTCGTCAACCTCATATCAACGTTTGGCCTCGCTCAAGTGAGTTCAAACTACCCGCCTGCAGACCATCACATCATGTTTAAGACGGCAGCATCACCTACCAAAATAACCATAAAAGTGGCGTATGGCAATGCTAATACAATTTCACAGACTCGAGAAGAAAAATACATTTTGCAAACCAAGGAAAAGGTTGAACGTCGTTCTGCCACCAAAGCGACAGGCCTTTCTACCAGACGACCAAAAATCAACAGCTGTTAGCGAGCGTCACTTTCCATCTTCAGGGCCAACTACCTACTCCAACAGCAGCACCGGCACCAAAAACCACACAACCCAGGACATCGCGCACACAACGCACAGAGCCTCCAGCACGTCCGGACCCTTCTAGACGCAACCTTCGAGACCCCGAACTTCCCAAGCTTCCAGCTGCTTTCGATTCAAGATGGCCGTCGCGGGCCCCTGCGCCCACTCGTTCAAGATGATCAAGTCGGACAGCACCTTGATCCAATGGACCTGCAACCTGTGCCATTCCGGACCCCACTGGAGTATCTTCGAGTGCCGGTATTGCAAGCTGCACACCTGCCGGCCCTGCACTCAAAGCGCCTGAGGTGCATCGTTCGTCGGCACCGTTACTGAGCACCCCAGACGACACCGACTGCGGGAAAGATGGTGCTCACCGTGAGGGGATGGAAGATGAAGGCATGCCGGCGACGTGGGGGTTTTGCATTGGATGCACTCGAGGTATGTTCACAAAGACACACTGCCGCTCACCTCGAGCAAGTCATCTCGTTCGAAGTCGGGCTACATGTTAGTTGCTTCTGATGACGCAAACTCCCTTCCGTCACCACCCAGACACAAATGTCTCGCCCTATCCGATCCCCGATCTCATTACCTTCTCTTGTTTCATTGCCTATGAGGTTTCCAGATGAGAATACCTGTCGGTGGACAATGCGGCACGGCAGTTGCAAACTGTGTCATCTTGCAATTGATGGATGTAACCTACTAACACAAGCCTAGGCCCCCTTTGAGACGTTCAAACGCTGCACGACTATATTGGTTCATCCCGACGGCGATGCACCACCAAACACGCAATACCAGGCGTATGCGCCTGAGAAATGCCCTGGCGATCGATGTCAGTCAGTATTTTTTCAGATCGGACGACATCGGATACGTCTTCGCGGGGTTCTCCCCCCCCCCCCCCCCCCCCCCCCCCCCCCCCTTTGATTCCTTCACTTTCGGCGGCGGCCGTCGACACGAAAAAAGCCATGCAACTCTTTCCGTTTTCGATTTTTGAGTTTTTTCAATCATTCTGTTTGCAACCCTCCCCGGACGTTTTGAAGGCACGCCGATTACACCACCCAGACAGGACCAGCTCCGCCACCCCTGCCGTCGCGGCAGGGTCCTCGGTCTTAACTCTGGTTTAGCTCAGTGGTGCCGAATTTCGGTGCTGCATGGCGCACGTGGGACCCTCTGGCTCAGGCACCTCTGCAGCTGGCTGCAGCTTCGGCGGGGAGCGCATCCCGTCCACAGGGGGGTGACGCCCTAGCGCCTGTGTCAACAGCTGAGCCCCTGTGCGATATGATGCCCTCGAGTTTCCGTACCTGGCTGAAGACGGGAATGATGCGACGGCACCTTTCCCGGTCACAATCTGGAACCATCAGGCACTGAGCCTAAATCGGCAGGGAGGAATCATCCATCCACAGCTCTCGTTCGTTCGCCGACGCTCCGGCCGGTTAGCTCCTTGATTCGACCGCAAGAAGACGCACCCATCGCCCGTTCTCCATTTCATTTCACACTTTTGATCAATACGTAACGGAGTTTTTCGGCCGCGCAATGCCCAATACCCCTATTCTACGGCAAACAACGACCTGGTTATTTTCTTTCCTCTTTTCCTTTGGGCAAACCGCCAAAGTTGGCGGGGCAGGAGCAGGTGAGGCGAGGGAGCGCGACGGATGTTGGTAGTGGTACTAGTGAGAAGGAACGGTTTCTTTCTCTAACAATAGATTTCGGGTCTTTTGGGAATGGTTCACGGAGCATGGCAAACAGAAGAAAAAACATGGGCTTAGATCACGTCACAACAGCACGCAAGGCTGATGGACTGGAACGGCGGTTATTTGTCAATTTTGAGCTTTCTTTCTTTTTACCTCCTGACGCAGAATACTCCTATTTCCTCACGCTACCTTTTTTGCCTTTTGGTCAGTTATCATCCTGAGTTTTGTCCAAGGAGTCTCTGCATCACATCGAACCCCTTGCGCTTCGGTTTCGCATATGATTTGATGCTGCCAGGCCAGAACGGTATCGCGTCCGGTTGGTCAAGCATTTCTATAGCGCTTTCTGGGTCGGAAGAAACCATAGGTTTCTATGTGTGTGCCATGACATGACGCAGGAAGACCAAGAAAGGTGCCAAGCACTAATATAAAAGAACAAACCCTAATGTATTTCTAGCCATCATATCATGGTTGATGCGCCCTGTGTCATCCAGAACTTGCCATGTCATGTCACCTGTGACCTAGGACGTTGGACCTTTCGGTATGTGGGCGGGATGTCTTTTGTTAGAAGAGACGTCGTCGGTCATTCGGATGGAGCACTCGGTGTCACTTATGGTCCGAGGATGCCGGTGAAGATATGCCGGTGAATATGCGATGGCGTTTTGGCGGTTGCCACTGAGATGCGTTATGTAACCATCCGCCTTCGCCTCGCCTCGCCTCGTCTCGGGTCTCCTTGGCTTAATGTTTTCTTCAACGGGAGAAGTCGGTGAAGAAGTTCGGTGTCCACGTTTTCGGGCGGACGGGAAAGAGTAGGGAATTTCGCGTTGAGGGCGGGCTGCCATCTTGTTATTGGTATCAAAAAACTTTTTTGGCAAGGCTTTTTTGTGTTCATGTTGCACAAAATGTAGATCCGGGGTTTGTGGTTGTACAAGACGAGTGTTCTCGGGTAGAGCATGGCGCGACCTCGGCATGGTGTTGGCATACATACATACCACATACATACGGTGATACACACACACATGGCATGGCATGGCATTTGGCAACTTGTACGACTACATCTGACAGCAGGGCCGGCCGGCTGCTTGCATACATATTTCTCCGAGGTCAATCGATTCACTTGGGCGGTCCTCTTTTTACCCTATCTCTTGGATGAGCGGGCGAAATTTTACGCGAGGCGGCGGCGGGATTCTTTTTTGGTGTAACTTACCTAGTAGGTAGAACGGTTCAAATGTTGTCCATGGGAAACGTACAACACGCAGGGCCCGAAGCGCGTTGATGAAGGAAGAGTCGTAGTTGGTACGGATACTTTTGTGTGGTGATTTACACCGACGAATTCGACGACGGGTGTGGATGGGATTGGGCGGGAATCTGATGGAGGAAAATCGGTGATTGGGGGTGGGCTGCTGATGATGATTATTGGTCAAGAAACATCACAGTTGGCGCTTGTGACGACGTATGACGGTACACAAAAAATGTGGATGAGGCTCTTGGGGTGTGGGAATGGTTTTCATGGCTGGATGTTTTGTCTACCATCTCGGTGAAGACTACCTTATTGTTAGTACTATACCTTTTTCCCTCAAGCCTACTTGTTATTTCCCAATTCACTCCGCCCCAGCCTTTCTTACCAATATGTGAAGAAGGAAAAGAATGATGAGATCGTGATGGGAAAAACTTTGAGCCCCATTAGCTGGGAACGTGTAAGGCAGATAGATACCCAAGGGTAAGCAGAGCGAGCAGAGAAGTACCAAGTTGACATGAATGATCGACTCAAAAGATGGTTTCAACGGGGGACGGATAGATACTGCACATCACAATCGCTGTGAAGATCAGGGGAATTATCCCCGTCTTCCTTCTTCTTCTTCCTCCCTCCCCTAGGTAGCCTCTAGGTCCCCCGTGCCCCTCCTCTCTTTCTGCCCTTTCGAGATTACTTTCTCGACCGTTAAGCCTTCATCGCGCCCGCGGTACACATTCAAACGGGTACCGGGGAACAAGGGGGTCTAGTTACGCGCGGAGGGGGGGCTGCTCCCCGTTGTGCACGCCTAGGTAGTTCGGCCGGCAAGGCGTGGGATGGGCAAGTTTGCTTTTGCTTTTTTGGGGAGATCGCAGCGGGCGGCGGTTGCGTGATCGCGGGAAGCCTCGCCGAATCTCTCGATGTTTTTGTTTCAGTGATTATTTTTAATGTTCTTCCGCTGGGTTGGTTCCCGCGCCCATTCATCTCCTTTTTGGTTTATTAATCAAAGTACGGATACTCTGGGCAATCTGGGGTATCAGAACCGAGCAACAACGACCCTGGTGGGTATAAATTTATGTGTTCCCCGCTTTATTTAACGCCGATGGGCGCATCTTTCTCGGGTTACACAAAGGGCAACGAGCATATGAAACTTTGGGGCGGGATGGTGTCATTGGCGATGGGCAACGTAACGGGCAACTCAAGAGGGAAAGACAGAGGTACTTACTTACAGTGACGGTTCAAGGATGGCTCACATCATACATGAAGTTGCAATGTTACATGTGTCAATGGCGGTGAGGCTTCTTATCTTGATTCCCTGAGGTTCACGATGCCGCGGCGTTTTCTAGTTGCGTTATCATTTTCGTGGAAATCAGGAGATGATGACACGGATGGCTTTTTTTTTCACGATGCAGATGGGTTGATCGGGGGGTTCGAGAAAAAAAAGTTGGGCTATGCGGAAAAGGTGTGCGATTTCATGCGCGAGAGGGGCACGGAGGGGTCAGATAGGTTGGTTACACGGCATTCTACTGCTCTTTTTTCTTCTGCTTATGCTTCTGCTTATGCTTCTGCTTCCCACCTCCCCTCCCCCCGCCCGTCCACCTGGTATGATGCCGTATCTAGCGAGAACTTCACATGTGATACTCCTCCCCTCTCGTGTGCTCGATTTCCTTTTTTTTCTGGGGCCGTGGTGCCAGCCAACGGTGCCAGCCAACGACAACATGCCACCAAGACTCCATCTAGAATGCTACCTGTTTTTTTCCGCGGTTTTTTTTTTGCTTTTCCTTCTCTTCCCCTTTTTGGGACATGTGGGAATCGTGGGATAAGACATGTGTTATGGCTCTTCTTGTGAAGAAAGTTGCCTGTTCTAGTCTAGAGGCAGGAAAAGTGGAAAACGGAAAGATGGCTGCCCAAGTGGGGAGAGGAGGAGGAGGAGGAGGATGGGAAGTGGGCTGCAACCACCAACATCAGGAAATCTGGTCTGCGAGATATGGACCCTTTATGCAACAGCAACGGTCTTCTTCGCGGCGGGAGCCGGTATGTCCCAATCAAAGACTGTCCGCTCGGCGTTGCGTCGGGTGACGACGACATGGTCGCCCACGCGGACCTGAACCGTTCCCTCCCCGGCTAGGGAACCGTCTTCCACGGAAGGAACTTTGAGGAATGCGTACCGGCCAAAGACGGGTGCGTATTTGTGACCCGAATCGACGCGGCGGTCCTTCATGAGGGTGTTGAGGAGCTTGCCCTCGGGTCCGGGAGCTGCGCGGCCGAGTGCGTAGTCGACGTTGAGGGATGTGCAGCGGCCGCAGTTGGCCGTGAGGAGGAGCTTGGCGTCGGAGGAGGCGGGGAGGGAGAGTTCCGCCCAATAGTCCTCAGCGAAGGGGGCCTCGGAGGAGTCTTCTACGACAATGTTGGGGCGCATTTTGGGCATGATGGGGGACGGAGCATCCGGGGTTTGAAAGGGTGTCAGGGATGGGTAAGATAGGGAGGAGTCTGAGGTGATGAGGTAAGGGGCGCAGTCGGTGAAGGTAAGCCAGGCTTGTTCTTCAGTTTCGGACTTGGAGAGAGACGAGATGGATGGGAGATAGGATGTGATTGAAGAGAACAGAGAGGAGGATTGCTGTTGTTGCTGTTTGGCAGGCGCCCCGGGGGCGAGGGTGCCGAGGACACGGCGGCGGCCGGAGCCAATGTGGACCAGGATTGTGGAGAAGCCGAAGCAGGCGGAGAAGAAGGCGTCGTATGGCTCCCCCATACGGAGTGCCTCGGCGGGACTTCCGTGAAGGTCGACCGAGATGGGCTCCAGAGACGACGTGTCCGGGACGAGGGGCACCGAAAGGGTCGTATCCTGGAGGAGATGGTGGTCGATGAGGGGCGGGGTTGGGATGTTGTACTTTACTAGGATCTCTTCGCCGCCGTCTTCGTCGGGAGAGCCGACGATGTCCTGGGAGAAGAGAGCGCACTGGGGAAAGGTGGAGAGTTGCATCTTCCGGAGGGTCGAGTCCGGGTTTACTTTGAACAGCATGTAGGTCCTGTCGTGGAGGATGCCTTGCGGGGTGAGGGTTGCCGAGGTGAGGTGGATTGGGCGGAGAGCCTTGATGGGGTAGACGTTGAGAGCTTTGATCTTCATTTTGCGTATAGATGACGGTGTGACGCTACGATGTATGAGTGTGGTGGTGATGGATGGATTCAATTGCGGCGGCTCAAGGTGATGATTCCCCCTCTCTCTTTCGATATGCACGGGTTAAGTCGGTGTGACGTTGTGGAGGGGTGAAGTTGATTTGGAGTTGGTTGAGAGTTTGAGCAGAGCGCACGTCAGTCGGAGCTTTTTTGGGGTAAGAGGAAGGGGAAAAGGTAATCTGATTATTCAGGTCTAGCTACGTGCAACGGAGCAAGGATGATTCTTTCCAAGGGAGAAAAGCAGCACATGGGACGCAGGAAAGGGGGGCTGATGGAAGGATGCACCCACGTATTCGTAGAGTAGGAAGCCGCAACCGCCGATATCGTAGCAGCCTGACAAAAGGTTAACTTGCCTGGGGTCGCGAATGGTAAGCAGAAAAAGTAAAGAAAAAAAAAGGAGCTTATTCTGCCCGGGGAGAAATTTCGGTAAAATACGCGATATCTGATTTGGGCTGGGCATTCTTCCTCTTTTCGGTCACTTGTTTTTTTTTTCTCTTTCAGAGACAGGTTTGCGCAATGTTTCGTTTCGAAGTGGTTGCTTACGAATATCGATGTCGCCGGGGTAACGTCGGACGTTCCGAAAACGTTTGGGTGAGATAAGCACGATAGCAAAGATAGCGGGGACGGAGACCAGGTGTTGACGGAGCCAGATCGGGGCTGAAGCCGAAGGTTCCCCACGCCGAGAGGGTCCCCGACCGCGGAGGGGGGCCAGGTACTCCGGTGAGAGCTCAATTCATTAACCCTTTTTTTCTACCTCAGGTCGTAGAGGTAGCCATACTCGGACTCGCAAGATCGCGTGCCAAAGTGGAACATTTGATAAGATAGGACATCCATCTCAAAGACGAGCCGCGACAGACATGTTGATGATACAGGGGACCTCAAGAAATGAGGAAAGGTATCCCGAATAGGCGGGAGCAGAGTGTGATTAGGCAGAAACACAGCGGGATTCTGCCCGCTCCATCTCAATTAGGGATGTGATGCCAGGTGCCAGGAAGAAAGTGCAGGGGAGAGAACATATTCGCAATGGGCGCGATGCTCCTGCAAGCTGCAAGGCCGATGATGCAGGTTGGGCGGGATTCTGACTCGGAAGGGGCAAAGAGCGACGTCGATGAAATCAACCATTTGAGCCCCCCCGGGTGGGTCCCCCGCTTGTTCCGCACCATGACACCCGCGTCGCTTACCGTCTGGCGGACCCGAGATCCACCGGGCCCGAAGCACGGGATAACTACGGGGCTCTTCCGAGAATGGCAACCGGGGCGTCACTCATTGGCTAAGCTTCTCAAGGCTTAGTCTGGGCACGCCGGCGTGGTTGGAGTGTCGCTGCCCAAAGCTGGATACCATGTTAAAAAAAATTTTGAATTACGCGGATTAAACTGAACCTCGTTCTCGCTGCCCAAAACTCCACCGACATTTGATAGGTTCGCGTCCCTTTCTCCCTCTCATTTATTTCATTATTAGTATCATAATCCCTAACTTTCTGCCTCCTGACTAGTGAAGAGATTAACCAGAATGGCAACAAATTGACATGACTCATGTCTTTTCAAACGGCTGTGAAATTTCCCGCGGGAACGCTAAAAGGGGGCCCGTCTTCTAGCTTAGCTCCAGGGAGCTTGCTGCCACGCATCCACGCCTTGCTTTTTGTAACTTTGCTCGCATGGGGGATCGCCCACGAGCTGCAAGAAAGAAAAAGGGCGCCACCAAACGCCCGTTAGCGGGGGCTGTCAAACTTGCTTCTGAAATTGTTCTAGGCCCTTTCTTGACGTTTGATGCCGGGCCGCAACCCCCATCTTGCCCCCCTCCCCTCTCCCTCGTTTGGGTATCAGGGAAAAAATAATGAATGAGAAAAGTAAGAACGGGCGTTCGATTGCCCGTGGTGTGGGAGATGTGATGCTGCCATGCATGGTCATGGCCCTCTTGCATTGCGCCCCGGCAGGCATGGACATGTTTAGATGGTATTTTAAGAAACCCCATTTGCCTCGGCGGCTCGGCGGCTCGGCGACGTCAGCGAGATGGGGGACAAGGAAAGATGGTGAAGCGAAGAGGGGCAAACTCGACGGGGAGGAGGAGGCCTTGCCCGGGGAAAGTACTTTATCACAGTATTTCGTATGACGGAATACACGTATATGCTCGCGTGCCGGTGCGTGAGAATACTTACCGGGAGCCAACGGCGCACTGCCGACGATAACCTTTGCCATGCTGTGCAGGTCTGGATTCATCAACGGTCAACGGCCAAGGGGGGTGTTTGGTGATTATCTCTACCAAGTTTTGGCAATCTTTGCGCATAGAGTGGGAGCACGTACGGGAGCCGAAAAGTCGATGACGCCGATGACAGCAACATCGGTCAGCGGACCGGTCCGAAAAGGGGACGCCTCTGTGAGCTCGATGCTCAAACGGCTAGGCGGGATTCCCTTGGCATTAGCACTGGGGGATGCTGCAAGCGTGATTGGGCTGTTATGTTCTTTATTTCAATGAGAGACTGGCACACGACAGCTTCGTTTGATGATCAACGGGATAATTATCGGCTTCTTCTTGGAGAATTTAGGCAGTTGAGGGCTTGGAGCTGGGAAAAGGGGGGGAGCAATTCCCGCGGGATATGCTTGCGAAGTCGCTTCCATAGTATCAAGTTCAACAAGGAGCAAGCAAGCATCAGTCCTTCGTACTTTCTCTGATAGTATGCTTAGATTAATCCCCACGAGGACCCTGAGATATAGCTGCCTACGATCAGAGATTTGGCTGCCCGCCCATATGATCCCAAATATCCTCGGGCGGGTCAAACGCTCCGCCCTGTGCAAATTCCATCGAGGCCAGCTTCTTTGTCACAGTGGCTGGAAGGGCTCCTCGCCTGCCTCTTTCTCTTGTCCGATCGGCCGATAAATTGACAACTGACACGGGATGTGTTGGGACCCATGCGATGGTTGTCAGCCAGTTTGTGTGGCAAATGGGTTATGGGAATTGATCGTATTCACACCTCCAGATAGTCCAACAACGCTATACTGGCTTATACGAAAACTCTCATCAACAGCTCGTCGTATAAGAGACAAGACAAAGATCATGAAACGCTCGCTGACTCGAGATGATGGCCTGATGTCTTGGAGTTAAACACTGGCAGCTTCAGCACTGCAGTAACAAGATGGTTTAGATATGGTGCTACGGATAACTCACCCCCCCCCCCCCCCCCCCCCCCCCTTTCCCCCGGAATGACCTCATCTGGCCTTCCAACGGCCATGTCGTTCGGCTAGCCCATGGCTGACGAGGGCCCTTGTCCAGCGGCAGCCAGTGGATTGATTCACAGACCATTCCAGCCAACGTGATCCTCCAAGGTACCGTCACGCCAACACTGATCCCCTACCGAAAGCCGTTTTGACTGCCCAGTGTCCTCACAACATCCCTACGTCCCCACTACGATCCCCCCTCCTACAAGGCCCTCTCCTAGGTGCCTTGTCTCTCATGCTATGATGCTCAGCGGCAACCGGCTGACCTGGTCTGCCGGACGTCCCGGGCTGGCTGCAGGATCGAAAGGGGTTGCCTTCCCTTGCCAAGATTCGCGCGCTTGTGGACACTGGAGAGAGCACCACCCTGCGGGAAGTTGCGAACACTGCATAATATTTGTGGCTTCCCCGGGGGGATGTGTTGCCAAGATTTAATGGCGCGGGTTTGGGAAGCAATCCTGAAATGTGAAATGAGCGCTCATGCAAAGAAACGGAAGCGAGTGATATCAGATGTCAAGACCTGGTCTATTTCATCCTTATCATCTAGACTACTATGGAGTTTTGCACATTTTGGATGGAGCAGGCTTTTGATTGTCACTGCAGCATCCGATTTGCATCTCAATGTTGGAATGGTGGTCTAGATCATGTTGACCCTGGGGTGCATGCGGGCGCATCTGTGACATGTAGATACTCTGGTGTTTGTATTCTACATGTATCTTTCTTTTGTCATGTAGTGGATGCCGTTCTGCATGGGCTATCACTGTGGTGACTTGTGTTCCATAAGGTCCGTAGTAATGTTAGCTCTCAGAGTTATCTCCTTTCTAGGGTTGCATTAAGTCGTGTTTATAGTGAGTTTAGCCACGGGGCGCTGAAGTGTTGAGATGCACTAGGCAAATGGACTTAGAATCGGAAAGTCGTAGCTGACTAGAATATCTAGCAATGTTACACAATTGATTGTGGCGCGATTCACATGATATATTTGCTTCTTCATGACTTTGATAGGCCCAAGATGACTACTAGACTTACGGACTAGGTGTGATGGTTTTGAGGCGTTAAAGTATAATCCTATTCAAGTCATAATGTTCGTGTTATTGAGGCGATTACAGTCCCTAAATTTCAACGCCCCCTAATGCACGTTCGCTTGACATTATCGCTCATTCGATACTTTTTGCAGGATAGCGTGAGGTTTTACATAGGAATCCAACGCACCAATATTTTCTTTCTGCTTTGTACCGAAAGAAATGCGTCTTGGCACGGAAACGGTTGTCACATTTGGCTCGTGGTCCATTCCTCTCGGCACACGCAACGACGCCACAACTGCCTGAACGAAGTCTATTCTCTACTATGTGAAAGCATGAACATGCAGTTCATCCTCTACGTTTCAAAGCCTAGTTGGAGGGAAGCCTCACCATACATATTCGACCATGTAGAGTGGCATAACGGTCTAGGAACTGTAAACGGCCGCGAACCTAGCCTCCAGATCCTTCTCGGGCAGAAGCGGGAGGCCCACAAGCTCGTTATCGAGCTTGTCGTAAGCAGACTTGTATCTGCCGCTAAGGAGGGCAGCCTTGATTAGACTAAACATCTTGAACTCGTTGGTCGGGTCCTCCTGAGCGGCCTTCAGGTTCTTTTCCAGCTCAACCTCCCCATCAAGTTCGGTCTCCTTCCACTCAGTGCCGGGCGGTGAGTACTTCTTGGCAAGCGTAAGCAACTGCGACTGGGAGACTTCAAACTCTTGAAGCTTCAGGTTGCGGTTCTTGGTCGCCTCCGGGTTCTTCAGGGCGCCTGCAACAGCCTTGCCGATACCAGCGAGACTAGTGCTTGCGAAGCGGGCGTGGCCCCCGTTCGTGATGGCGGCCGTCTTGTTCGCGTAGTCAAAGGCGATGGGGAACTTGACGACAAGATCGGTGAAGCCACCGACGGAGAAGATTGTGTACTCGATCTCACCGACCTTCTCCTTGAGGTAGTTCTGCGTGTCGGTCAAGGGCTTCATCATGACGGTGAGCTCAGCCGCCGCCTTGGGGTCGGTCGTGAAAGAGCCCCAGTCGGAAGGGATGTAGCGCTTGACGCCGGCCTTGATGGCGGCGTCGATGATGGTTTTCTGGATGAGGAGGCCGCCCTTGCTGACGGTTGAGACGATGACATCCTGCCCCTTGATGGCCGTGGCGATGGTGTCGACTGAGGAGTAGTCAATTGCCTTGTAGTGCACACCGGCAGGGAGGTCTTCTGAGGCAGACTGGGCGCGGCCGAACACCGTGACATTGAATCCAGCGCTGGCAAGTTCAGTGGTGATTGCGGTTCCCAAGAGCCCTTTCTGTAGATTTATTAGTACCTCTAGCTTCTGAGACCGAAGTTTGAGCTTACGCCAAGGAGAGCAACGTTCTTGAAAGAGCTCATCTTCGTAGTTTAGTGGTGAGAATCTAGTGATGCTTTCGAATATTAGGTGTTGAGATGATTGTTGTCGTTTGTTATTTCTTGCATATTGATCGTTCGATGTTGCCGCGACTCTCATGTCCCCTTATACATACAATGACATACTATCGGTTGGGACTGAAAGTCCGACGGCATAACGAGACGACTCCGTCATAATTATTCACAATCGGGTTTCGATGCTTGTTTCAACTAATTTGGCAATCTTTCGGGACTTTGGATGTCGAAAGTACAGAATCGAGGAGGGATGAGATGGCGCAATTGTGGAGGAAGCACCTTTGTTCAGTCCACCCGGCGGATATAATTATGTCTCCAAATTGACGATAGTCTCGGGCCGCTCTGAACGCTGATTTGCGGAAAGCTGGGGTAAGCTAGTCGAGAACGACTGTAGCGGGGGATACAAACCATCCCAGAAACATCCGCAATTGGATCCGCCGTCTCTTCCGTTTACACAAAGGGCGGAAGCTTATTAATATCCGCCCACTTATAGATCCCCCCGACTACCCACGACAACTCCCGCATCAAGCACACTGTTTGCCCAACTTTCTAGCGGATTCAAACCATAGCCCTCTTCTCTGTCCAAAATACTTCCGAGGGGCGAAGAGACCACCTGGCAAACATGGCCGGTGTCGCTGATGCCACCCGTACCGGCGAGAGCAATGCGGAGGAAGCCAGCAAGAAGCGGATTTATAGTGTAAGCAACTCCGCTTGCCAGCCATCCAGTCAGAGCCATCATGAACTAATCTAATCACCGTCCACAGGCATGTGCCTATTGTAAATCACGCAAAAGACGATGCGATGGAGGAGAGCCAGCCTGTGGGCTCTGCACTATGTCGGGCGTACCCTGCGTCTACACTGAGCGCAGGAAGAGAGGCCCGGGGCGGAAGTCAGTGCCCAGTGCGGATGTTTAATTCAGGGACAATTGCTGACTTGTCACTCAGGAACAAAGCCGGGGTCGAATCAGAAGGGAAGCGGCAGAGCAACGAGGCTGAACTCAACGGCCTAGGCAATCAGTCATCCCTTGATGATCCAGAATTCGCAGGGCTTGTCGATACTCTGTCTTCTCAGACGGTTCCCCCTACAGAACGTCGTATCAAAATACCGAAAAGTCTGGCGCAAAGACTTCAGAGCTATGCTGCAGAACAACAACAGCGCAACCCCGCTGATCCTGGGCCCAGCCGGCGTGAGAGGATACCACCCTATGCTCTTCCCTTCCTCCCCAAAGATCTGTTCGGGCGGTCTTCCGTACTAGAAGGCCTCCGTAACGCCCGGAGTCAAATCGAGGCAAACATTGACCCGAGACCGTTCAGCAGAAGCACATTTGCGCGCTTCCCGCCTCAAGACTACATTCTAGACCTGGAAATCACCGTCATGGAAGAAGTGCAGCTCTTCTGTCCCGCCATGACCCGGGATACATTCCTAGAGCTTACCGATAAGCAGTACGGAGTTCATTCCGATCAAAACGACTGTGATACTTCAGCTAGGCGTTGCATAGCGAACGCCCTGTTCGGGGCTGCCATGCGGTGGAGGACCGCGAATGATTCCTTTGAGCACTTTGGCGGCTTGAGCTGGGGATACTACAAGAACGCCTACTCCATTTTCCCAGAGCTCATTCTTCAGGGGAACAATGTGTTGGCGTGCGAGGCGATACTGGCTTTAGCCACGTTCTCTTTGGGCACGGCCGATACCCGCACGACAGCACAGCTGGCTTCTGCTGCGGCCCGAACTGCCCAAATAATTGGGCTACACAGGAGAGAAACCTATGTCAACCTCGATGCCAAAGAGTCAGCGCGACGAAAGCGAGTATGCTGGGCCACGCACATACTAAACACCGACATGATGGCCAGATTTGGACTATCCCATCCCTTTGCTCACGGCGATGTGACAGTTGAGCTTCCAGCCGAGAATGCGACCATTTTCGATGGCACGTCACAGATACCGTGCTTCCTCAGGAGCATGGCACAACTATCTAGAACCCAAGTCAAACTCCACGAAAAGTTCTCTGCACACAATATCCAGCTCCAGTCAGGCACAGATCATCACATGATGCTGATACTGTCCACATGTGAGCTGGAAGAGTGGAAGACCTCGCTCCCACAGGAATCGAGACCGGATCCAGCCACTCTCTCGACGACGAGAGAGCTCGACATGCCGACCGCCCTCTTGCATTTCATCTACTTTAGCACCCTGATCAAGACGCACATCAACCTGGCACGGCTCAAGAATGCGACGAGCATTCAGCCGTCGTCCCCGCTGTACAACGAGTGGGTGAATAGGGACGCATTCCCCAACATAGAGCAGTCGCACGCCAAGTGTACTGCAGCGGCGCGGGCTATTATTGATCTTCTACGCGTGATGCCGCCTCAACCATATGTGAACTTATGGTAAGTCTCTAGCGTCGTTGCTTCGAAGCAGGTTATTGACACCTTTGACAGGGTTCTCCTCGGCTATCCCATCATGGCCAGCTTAATCCTCTTGTGGTCTGCACTCGAAGAGCCGACCGGGTCAGATGCCCTTCTCAATGTGAGGGTCATGGGCCAGTTCATCCAGTTCCTAGCGGGGGTGAAGGAGGAAGGCTGCGATTTACACAGCGTGCTGGACGGCTGTTCAAAGATCTACAAGATTGCCAAATACGTCGTCCACACGCAGAGAGCCATGAGGTTGTCGGCGCCCTTGGAGGAAGACAATGACGTCAAGGAACAACTCGAGGTAAGTTCGAATTGGACGCACTTTTTTTTTTGTGTTTGACGGTACGGCGTAACTGACTTGCGTACTTGTAGACTCTGCGTTTTAAGCTCTCTGGAGTCACGGATTGGATGTATCTTGCCCAGGGTCTACTGAGCAACATGCCTCTACTTTGCGCACAGGCAAGAGACATTTTTGCAGATGTTCTTGGGATTGAGCAGGCGAATCCCGAGTATGGGGCGTTTGCCCCCGAGTTGCTGATGCCACACAGGCATAATGTATTTTTTAGTTCTTGAAAGAACTTGGTACTTGCATTGTACACAGAGAGATGATACCCCATAATTGAGCTCATAGCAATGCTATCAGAGCAACAAGAGAAGCCACAGTCACAGCAGCCGCCACTCGTGCAAGTTCGGCTGAACTCGATGCACCGGACGGGCTCGCCGTGGCCGATGCCGAGGCCGAGGGCGTGGAAGAGGTTCCTCCGCCACCGGTACCACTGCCGCCATTACCTCCGGCGCCGCTGCCACTGCTCCCACCACTTCCTCCACCGCTAGCCCCACCAGTATTCGTCTGACTACTCCAATACGTCTGATTCCACTCCGCAAACGACAGACTCGAGTTGAGTCTCAGCTTGGGATCGAGATCGTCCGCCGTGATAGTACGGGTGGCAACCTCTCCGTTCCAACAATGGCGGCGGAAGCACTCCTGACACTGATCCGGCAGGTCGATACCGGCCCTGATCAGACTTCCGCGGATCGTCGCGCAGGCGAGGCAAGCGGGCCACGCTGCATCAACGGTGCCGTTGCCGTAGGTCGCGAGGTTAAAGGCGTTGTCGACGGTGAGGTCGAACTCGTTGTCCGTGAAGGAGGACTTGAAGAAGGAGAAGTTGCTGTAGCCGGACCACGGCGAGTTGGGTAGGTAGAGCACCAGCGGCGTGGGCGGCGACGTCGCGGCGTCGCAGCCGAAAAAGGTGGGCTGCTTGGTCAGGTTCTGGGTCACCAGCGTCGCGACGTCGGGGATCTTCGGGAAGGGGATGTTGCCCTGGGCCGCCGACTGCGCCGTGTTGACGAGGTTTGTGCCGTTGACCCAGTTATACTGCGCATCTGAGGAGGCCTCGTAGACGATGACGAAGTCGACCTGGCGCTCGGGGATGATGAGAGGCCGGATGGGGTTCGTCTCCCCGCCGAGGCTGCCGTCAACGAGGAGGAGTTCGTCGATGTTCTGCATGGCGGGGTTATAGTTCTCAAAGGGATTCGGATAGGTGGCCCACAGAGACTCGTTGAATGTCTGGTTGAAGGACTCGGCGGTCTGGTTGACGAGGATCACGCGTCCGTCATCCTCGAATTGAGGGGGAGGCACGATGACTGTGGTGTTTGGCGGGCCCATTTTGAGCGCCCGCTTGGCAAAGATTGGGGTATCGTACCAATCGTCAATGAACCAGGCGTCGAAGGCGTCGGCTGTAGACCCCTGAATGAAGGTAAATTTGTCGAACCCCTGAACGCACTCGCTGCTGTTCTGGGCCGTGCCGTTGGACATGGAGGTTCCGAGGTACATTGTCGGCATGAAGGCCTGGATTCTTCCACCTCGCCAGCTTCCAAACTCGAAGGGGGTCACCTCGTAGGAGGTCAGATTGAACCCGTTGGTGTTGTTTCTTCCGGGCCACATGATGCCGCCGATTGTGGGCGACTGTCCAGGGATGACTTCGGACAGAGCAATAATGGGCATCGGGGCTTCGCCTGAAGAGAAGACGGTTCCGGATTGGGCGAGATCAGAGTAGTTGCCATATGTGCGGTTCTCTGGGAGGTACGTTGCCCAGAACTGACCAAAGGCATCTGCGACGGAGACAGGGAGTCCCGTCTCTGCTTTTGCACCGACATTCTCAAAGATGTCTGTCAAATAAGAGGTGATGTTGCCGTCGGGACCCAGGGTATAATCCACAATGAAGTTGATCTGTTTTCTCAGGGCACTTATAGTGATGAAATCGTTGGCGGCTCTGCGCGAATTGTGAGCATGTTACATAGAATGGAGAGAGAGAAAGTGAGATAGAATAGAATCGGAAGGACTTACAGTGTGCTCACGGTCAAGGCACCTCCGCCACTCAGACCGGTGATGTATGACAGAACCTGCGTGAGACCCCCCGTACGAGCGGCAACAGCAGCCGGGTTGCGAGCATCGAAAGCCTGCCATATGCCGAGACCTCCAACACCGGACTGCGTGCCGCCTCCGGAGACGGACAGACCGACGACGGGGTAATTGGAGGTATTGAGCCGTTGGATGTAGCCCTGGACATCGAACCCCGAGATATTTGCAAGTGTGAGGTAAGAGCTGAGCGCAGGGATGACCTTTTCACAGCGGCTTACTCTCCAAGATGCTTCCGGTCGTGAAAGCCCCTATGATATGAAGTCAACAGCCGTGGCTGAATCTCATGGAGATGGCCTCAAGTTACCTCAGAAGCGGGTCGCACTGTTAATCCTGAGGGACAGCTTGCGTAGACGGGCGCGAAGGGGTCGACGTCTCCCTGTCCCTGGGCAGCGGCGAAACCGGCCAACAGGAAGACTCCCCCGAGATAATGTGGGTTTCTCGTAGCCATGGTGTCGTAAGAAACAAGAATTAGACATAAGGAGCCGAAAGCTGCTCGAGCTCTATCGTGATTTGGTAGGCAAAGCTATCTTTATCTACCAACTCCCCAGCACTAGTAGTAAGCTAGAAGTGAGATAGGTAGTTGTCTCTACGAGACAAAGTTGTTCCATTTGAGGGGACCGCCTAGTTGCCCCTCGTCGACGAAGCCGGGGTGGTGCATTGGGATAAGACAACCACGGCAAGGCGTCTTCAAGTACCTATGCTACACGACGGGTGGCTCACTAGCACAACACCTATTGGGTTGGAGATGCAGGCGGGCTTGACGGACTAAAGCTTGTTTCTGTTGAAACACGAGGCTATTCTCTCAGGGCTGATTTTTAAAAATGTCAGTCTAACGAGGTTGTCCACGTCAGCCGCATCCGGCTCGGTGTCGCTTGCCAATTCATGGCTCGGAGAATGCACACACGCTTCCCGCAAGCACCTCTGTCTTAGTCTGCTCAGACAAGATCCGGGGCTCTGGGAACGCTAGTGGGAAGATGGGGTCTCTCAATCTCCGTCTGCATCCGTGGCTTTTTGTTGAACTCGTTGATGCATGGGGTATGTTCTAGGGTTTTAGGAAGGTTATAGTGATGCTTCGATCCAATGCTATTGGACGTAATCAGTATAGCAACGAGGCTGCCCATCTATACTAGAGTATCTAAACAATCTTTTTCCAATATCTGTTGCTCCCTCTTCGAACAAGGCTTTCGAGCAGAAGGAGGGGAAAAGTACTTCTATTGAAGACACTTCGTGCCGAAAGCGGCAATGGCTGAGACTAAATTTTGGCTGCAGCTTCAACAGCCAGATGGGGGACTGACACTACCTTCGGCCAAGTCAGCTAGCCCGCTTGATTGTTTGTGAACTTCCAAGTCGGGCTCGCTTAATCGCATTGAGAAGCTCTGAGCAGGCTCTCTGACAACTGAATATCTCTGGTCCAGGTCAAGATGAGAAGTCAGGTCCCAGCCCAGAGGCGCCAGTGCTGTCTCCGCTTGCTGTGTGTTGATATGGCTCAGCCATAATACGTTCGAAGTTGCTCTCTGTAACTCGGGAGCTAACTGATAGTCTCAAGGAAACTAGAAGTCCTTTCAACTCAACTGCATTTTATACTTGAATCATGCAGGAAGCCTTGACTCGCCAATCGTTCTGCAGCGTCTCACCCGAGAGTGTCTACATTTATTGTGTCTTGTCCTGCATGAAAGCAGCACACTTGCCCTTTACAAAGTACTGAGCGAGACCCACTTTCATTTCCAGAGACTGCGTTTTCTCTGCAGCCGCCACCCCGCTTCCATTCATAGACCCGTTTCCCGGCTGCTCCGTCAACTCCGCCTCTCCAGCTTGAGATCCGGAACAACACATCATGGCCCTCTGGCGCAACGGTAGCGCGTTCGACTCCAGATCGAAAGGTTATCCGTTCAAATCGGGTGGGGGTCAGTCTTTTTTGCTTTTACAGCTCCCTGTGAAGCTATCGTGATTTTTTCTTGGCTGTGGTGGTGTTTTGGTGATGCCGCCGGAGAACTCAGTGTTTGAGTTTTTGTGGGAGACATTAGGGTTTGGCGGGGCCAATGGTTTGGACGCTCTTGTTACCTACCATACGATGGACAGTTTCCCAGGACTTCATTTCTTTGAGAAGAAATATTAGGTGAGTGACATGTTGTAAGCTGTGATAGAGTTGTCGTTTTCTCTTAGTCTTCAGAACTCAACAGAACTCAAGACCTCATGCTATAAAGCGGTGCCGGCACCTCACTTCACAGGTTTCCAACCTGCCTGCTTGAATGCACTGGGAAGACTATGATGAGCAATGGCCCACTCAATCGCTCTATAGCTCATGACTTCAAACATTCGTCGTAGTGAAGCGCTTGACATTAAAGCAATTGCACCATAGAATGATACAGTCGACCGCAAACCATGCATGACCTTTACCGACACGTTCATCTATCTCACACCTCTAAGTCTATTCTGTCTACACCGGGGATCTCTCTCTCTCTGTCACACACACTTTCGTCTTCCTCTCCCACGTTCGTCTTAACTCTATCGCTCTGCCTCTCTCTAGTTGAAGTTCTCCTGAAACGCCGCCAACGCAACGCCCTTTTCCCGCAACACGGCCTTGGCATCCCCGTTGACCCCCTCCACCGGCCCACGCTCAAATGTGAAGACCTCCTTGACGCCCAGGCTCTCGAGGTAGTTGACGTTGCGCTTGTAATTCGTCGCGACCTGTGCGATGCCGTGGCTATCGTCTGAGAATGTGAAGCGTCCGCCCATTGCCAACCATGCCTATCCGTATGCAGAGTCAGTCGCAAAAGTCATTGACAACGGCCCTGCCATAATTCCCAAAACGCTGGGAGGAAGAGCAGGGAAGAAAAGAACGGAAAGGAGTCAAAAAGAAAACTCACCTCGGCAATAGGCCGACACGGATAAGGCTCATCAAGACCCTTCCTCAACGCACTGCTATTACACTCCAACAACCCCCCATACCCCCTCACAACCTCCAAATTCCTCACAATCTTCTCCCACACCCCCTTCCACAACCTCACATCCCGCCCCGGGTCCTCGCTCATCAACCGCACGAGGTCAAAATGCCCCACCACCCGCGGCTCCAGCGCCGTCAGCATCTCGTGCTGCTGGTCGTAGTACCGCGCGTACATGGTCTCCTCGTCGGGGCCGGCCGACTTCATCGCCTCGACGTACATGTCCCGGCTGTAGTCGATGGGGATGGCGTTGACGTGGTGCAGGGACCCGATGAAGTAGTCCACCGCCGGGTGAGACGCGAGGGACTTGATAAAGGGCCCGTAGGCCGGGCGGTACCATTCTCCCTCGAAGCCGATGAGGAGGTCGATTTGCGGGGCGTACTTTTCGCGCAGGCGCTGGGCTTCGGCGAGGTAGGCTTCGTGGCGGGGGGCGAGGACGGAGAGGGCTGTTTGGGGGTCTCCTTCTTCGAGCTGGGGGGGGGGGGGGGGGAAACAGTCAGGATTCAGTCCTCATGAGAGAGCTATGCTGAAGAAGATGATGATGGGGGTTGGAGTCTTTACCTCTTCAGGGTAGAGATCTCCGATTTCTAGACGGGGCATGTGTTCCGTCAGACCCATGGTCTTGTAGCCGATGCTGATGGCATGCTGGACGATGGCCTCGAGCTGGTCCTTTGCGTGGCCTGGGCAGAATTGCCCCGAGTGGGAGTGCATTGTGAACGCCATGGTGAGTTGATGAGTTGTGTGGTGTATTGGTTGGTCTAAGTGAGAAGAAAATGAGATGAGATGAGATGAGACGAACTCGAGGTGAGTCAGGTCCTGATGCTGGCTAAAGTCGCAATGCGCTCGCTGGTGACGTAGTTTTGGGCGATCGTAAGTGAAGATTGCAAATTTACCACTTCTCACAATTTCAATCAGCGGTGAAAAGCAATGCCTGCGCAAGTCTAAGATGGACAAGAGATATTCTAGATCGACATGTGTAACAGGACTCGAGTATCTCCGATCACTTCAAGATAAGAGGTCAATCGGCCGACCTGGGATGCGCAAAACAGGCGCTGTAATGGGTTGGTTCCCCACCAAAGAAAATTTCGGGGCCCGACGGGTGGTCGCAGCAAATCGCTGACGTTGATCCGTCCACGTTGACGCGCATAATCCCGCTATATCGAGTCTCCGCGTGCCAAGGCTTTCGCCGCATCCGCGGACGCCCACGAGGTTACAATGAGATCTCGGAACCATGTCACGTATGATGGAGATTTTGACCAATCATGGCTTTACGGCAAAAACGTCCCCCAATTGCTTCAGTGGCAAGTTCGAGATATATAATTAGGTACAAGAAAAGAGGGTTGTAGTATCCATAGATGGATAAAGAGAAACAAGAAAAAGGCATAACTCGGACGGGGAGGGTATCAAGACGGCAAACTCCAAGTTTGCGGCTCACAAAGCCAGATTCGCAGGAAACAAGGGTCTATACTTAAGAAGACGCGTTGGGCAAAGGGGACGAAACAAAAAAATGTTTTTCAAGGACTGTGAGATCCCAAATCTGTAACAGCGCTCTAACCTGACCTTCTCGGATTGTAGCACTACACACTATTGCTTCTGCGGGGTTTCCGGGATGTCCCAGACCGACTTTGCCGGCTCCTCCGGATCTGTCTCGATGGCAGGCTCTTGTTTGGCCTCAGATGGAGCACTCATCCCCGGCGGCGCAAAGGGGATGGCAGACGTGGAGGTGAAGACTGGCAGATCCGCTCGCATCATCTTCACCGGAGACTTCTTCATAGGCGATGGTTTAGCTGATGACAGCTTGGCTGGTGATGGCTTAGACGGCGAGGATTTGACGGGCGTATTGGTGTTGGGCGGCATCCACTTCAGGGGTTCTGACGGCGTTACAGACACAGGAGGGGGGCCCTCCGGCTGATAGTTGATGAACACGTCCGAGCCTGAGGGCGTCACAACGGTCGGCGACATCGCGGCGGGTGAGCTGGCAGGGAGCTCTACTGAACGGGGATCAGGAGTAGCGGCGAGAGGCATTTGCTCGGTCACTGGAGTTGAGACTTCCGGCCGGCCTTCTGGGACAGCAGGCGGTGACGGGTCTTCAAACACCGGAGGCTGCGTTGGCGGTGTAGCAAGAGCCTCGTCTTGCGGAGGTGTGACGATCGGAGGTGCCACCGGCGAGGAAGCCTTCTGAGCTTCAAATGGGAAACCCGTCTTTGCTTCTTCGGTTGTGGGCGGTGTGGCAGTTTTGGCTTGAGCGGCTTGAGCTGCCTGAGCTGCCCTGGCTCGCTCTTCTTTCTGCGTCTTGGTGATCAAGTTGATCTTGACCTTCTTCATACCGGCAGTCAGCTTGTCCATGTCGTCCTCGGATGTAGCAGCTGGGCTCGGTTTCCTTTGAGGCGGCTGTGATGGCCCAGTCTGCTGGGGAGGAGATGGCTTCGCTGTTGCGGCAGGCTTCTTCACAATTCTTGTAGTTTTCGGGGCATCCTTCTTGACTGCGGGAGCCCTCGTCTTTTTGACGTTCAGGGATGTAGCGCTCTGAGTTCTGATGCTCATCGCTGTGTCTGGTCGCACACTCATAGAAGTGTCCGGACGCTGGGCTGGAACTCCGGGGCCCTCGAAATCTGTGTTGGGAGCATTCGCAGCCACAGTAGACACGCCACTAAGGCGTCGACCGGGTCGCTTAGCTGCTCCATTTGTACCAGAGGGTATGCCTCGAGCCGTTGCCTAGTAGTAACGTCAGTTTGAGTTTCGTTGAGATACTGCGAGTGACAAACTTTGTCCGATGATAGCGCAGCAGGGCCCGCAACCGTCCTCCGCCGATTACTTGTCTGCTTGTCATCGTCATCGTCTGCATCAACGTACAAGCCAGGCTTCGCTGGTTTGCGTTCCCTCAGAGACATCCGCGAGGTTGGTCTGCTTGCTGGCTTCGGCTTCGGCGCAGGAGCAGGCGCCGGCGGCACAAGATCAGGGTTAATAATCGACTGTCGGTCTCTCCGGGCCCTTGTCGCCTCCGCGTTCAAGTCTTCAGGTTGGCAGCTGTCGACTTGGCGATCTGACGGGATGAGTAGCCTGCTCAGCTCATGGGCTGCTATGGTCCATGGCACATCAGGGGGAGGCGGTGTTGCTGGTCGCGAATATGGCATTCCATTCGACAAGCCGGAGGCCATCCGTCTCATCCTCGCCGGATCTATGGACTTACCAATCGATGCCTGTGTGGGAGTTGAGTATGTGGGCGGGGTTGAGTGCCGTATCATTTTCGGGCTGACTGGTCTATTGCCCATCGCAACTTCTAGCTCGTCGAGTTCGGAGCTCGACCACCATGACGGTTTGTAAGGGTGCAGTGATGGTTCGCCAGCAATGGTTGCTGCAATCTGCCCTGCCATTTCGCCACCGAGCGAAGAGCGACCCCGAGTAGGCTCTTCCGGTGGTGTCTGATTTCCTGAGAGTCCGCTCAGATGGCTGAATATGCCAGAGTAAAGAGCTCGGTCACTGTAACCACCCTCAAGCACGCTGATAACGCGCCCGTCAACCCCCAAGCCTTCTTCTGCGGCAAGCTTCACCACATCTTGAGCGATACGAGCATAAAACTCGGTAGGAACGTTCACATTATGACGTTGCATACCCTTCGTCTCCCACTCACTAGCATCGAATCCAGCCGAGAAGAAGATTGCCGCCTTAGGAGGCAGATTGAGAGCGCGAAGACGAGCTGCTTGGTTTTTCAGATACTTGCGCGTCTTCTCCAGGATAACTGAGTATCTGGACTCGTAGAGCTCCCAGAACTCCTTCTCTGAACCATAGGATTCCAGGTGAACATTGTAGATGTTTTGGCCGTGGGCATTGTCGATACACAGACTGGCGTTCTTGACCTTCTCCTCATCACCCCACTCACAGGGGTACGAATTGATGTCATGAAGACTAAAGTAGCCGATGGACGCCTTCTTCCAAGCTGCCGTGTTCTTGGCCGCATTCACTCCTCGTGAGTTATGCGCCCAAGTAATGGCTTGGGAGCCATCTCCGTGGTGAAGATCGAAATCGATGATGGCCGCATGGGTAAGACCGTGGTTCAGAATACCATGCATAATTCCGACATGGACGTTATTAACCCAGCAAAACCCCGAAGGGAAAGAAGCTGAGCAGTGATGTCCCGGCGGACGTACAGCGACGAAGGCTCGTCGAGGACCCGATGTGAAAACTCGGTCTACGGCTTCGCAGACGGCACCCAGCGCACCCTCAAAGGCCTCGAGCGATTCTGAGCAAAGATAGAGGTCACCCTCGTGGAACTTTGCGGGCGGTCCGTCCGATCCCCTGTTTAATTCTGGCCTCTGAAGCTCCTTCCCACCAGTCGCCAGTTTTATCTCTGCTCCTTCACACATCATCTTGAGCTCCTCCATCCACTTGGTACCGTGGACGTTGGTGACGGCCGCCGATGTCAGGGGCAATCTTCGCTCGGTCTTGTAGATGCGAAACGGAATCGTCGGAATAGTGGAGGGATCTAGACTTGGATGCAGCGCATATGCGCCATCGCAGTGCCGTTCACCGAGTCGCACGTAGGCCATGGCAACTCCCAAAACCCCGGCCTTGATTCTCTCAGGCCGCTCAACGATGGTGCTGAGGGCACCCTTAGAGGTCTTGGGTCGGGAGAAACGGTGTCCGTAACAGGCATCGTGGAGGATGACGAGGGTCTCGGTCGCTCGAGTCGAAGTTGGTGAGTGGTGAACCTCCAATTCGGTCTTGAAGTAATCGCGGGCGACCGTATTCGCTGTAGGCGCAGGCTTGATGTACTCAGGGGGGCTCGGTCGCAAAGGGGATTTGGAAACCGGAGAAGAGGCATACACCATGCTAGTCCGCCTCGATGGCGCTCGGCTGGGCGTTCGGCTTGAAGAGCCACTCACAGAGTGCAAGGAACTCGTAGAGGTCTTGCGCTGAAGTGTTGGTGTTGAAGAGCGCTGCAGCGTCGGCGTCGAAGATCTAGACCGGGAGAGCTCCCTCGCAAAGGAGGGACTTCGAGACGGGGCTCGAGGACTCGGTGCCGGAGATGTTCGATTTACGGCCGGTCTCATCGGAGACAGGGCGCTCGAGGCCCGGGGCGAGTGGCTAGCCGACGACGTCGAAAGAGACAGCTGCTTGAGCGAATGCGCCAGGTCCTTATCCCCATCATGGGAGGATGTATTCAGCAGTGATGGGCGCCGCGACGGCGCTCTGTCGAATGGAGAGGCCATGGCTGAGGCGCAAGACCCATGAAATCCAAGGTGGTGTCTCGGATGAATAAAATGGTTCGGGAAAACAACAATATGAGAAGCCGGTAGCGAAAGAAAGTGTCTTGAAAGCGTAAAGATTTGGGTAAGTGCGGTGTGTATGTAGCTGGTTCTGGCAACTTGCAGCTGGCGGCAGGGTAGGTGGTGGGCAGGGGACTTTACGTATTAGTTGACCGCCCGCCAGCACATCGTCACAGTTGTCACTTGTCAGTCGCGTCCGTTGTGAGTACACAACACGCGCCATAAGGTGCATAATTGCGATCACGTGGAGATCAACAAATAGGGGATGCGCGGGGCATTTCGCCTAATCCCGCTTGGGCTGAGAGAACCGCAGGCGCTACCGATTCAAGTGGGGTTCGGACGATACCATGTGGGGGGCACGATCGTCACTCCTTCGTGCAATGCAACGTCCGCAGTCAACCGTTCACTTACATCCAACCAACGCCCTTTTCTCCAAGAGCTTAATATTCATCAACGGGCCTCCACAGACAACAAGACAACTCGACATCACTAATGCTTTGTTGAGGATCAATCACACGCATGAGGATATCTACCCCAAGAAGAATACCTCAAAAATCATCCATGCCAGTACCGTAAGATTTGCTTCGAGCAGAGCATAGCAATGGAAACGGGGAACGAAATAGATCACCTAGAGGAGTACCACTAAGTTTATACTAATATTTTTCGACTACAAACCGATTACATAATAAGTATTAAAAAGTCATTCGGACTGACGAAAGAGTTCACCCCCCGGGTGCTGGACTGGGGGCTACATCTCTTGATGCTCATGCTGCGAAATTTAAGGTGCTCATGCTGGGATTCGAACTCGGTACTCGTATGCGCTTAGCCTGTCGTCGAGTAGGCTGGTTGACGATTTAATTGTTGACCATAAACCACTCCACCATCCAGCCAGTTTGACCTGACCCGTCGACCTAGACGGGCGCCTGCTGGCTGGTGACAGGAATGGAGTTGAGGGGGTATATGAAGGCTTCTCATCCCATGTGTGGAAGGTGCGCCTCAGGCCACCTGCCTCTTGATGACGGGAAGGAAAGAGAACGCCTCCTTCCTGCCGGGAGAGGTAGAATACGGAGGCGGTGCGCCGCGTTGACCACGCCTACATCAACCTTGATCAGCGAAAATAGGCACCCACGAACCTGGACGGCCTTTTTGCGCTTCTAGGTACTACTACATAAAGGTCGCTTGTGAGCAGGCACCATAGCGGTGTCACATAAGGTAATGTATCTCATTGACGTACCGTTCGTTCTTGACGAGCTTTTGAATCGGGTATCATATCGTCGCTTAATGAATGTGTTTGATAGCGTAAAATGAATGAATAAGAAGAGTACGGATAGATCCTGGCACCGTCCCACTGGTTCATCAACAGTTTGATTGCCCACTTATACTCCGTACGCCGGAGCCGCATACGAGGATCCAGTTGCTTGGAACCGAGATTGACAGGGCAAGGGACGCTAAGACATCCGTTTGGTTCGATGAACGGTAAGGCATTGCTGAAATATCCCACCTCACTGTGCAAATCTGAATATTATGCTGACATATGCCCACATCCATCCACTTTGGGGATTCTGCCTCGCTTGCCCCCTTTTTGCAGACAAATGACCTCGAAGCTTTTGTCTGGTTATCTGTTCTGTCCCCTGTCTTCCCGGCGACTTACGCAATCTCCACTGCCATGGCTAAAGGCTAATTTCAACTCCCTCAGTCCGTGGACCATTGCTCTCATCCTCGGCCACTCATATTTGCTCGGAGTCGGAGAATGGTCCCACGCGAGCCGCTGTTCTTCGGACACAAAGCTGCGCTTGCCTGCCGCAAGTGCTAGTCGCTACTGCCATTCGTAGTTTTGTCTAGGTGTATGACTCTTGCAGTCTACGCAGGGGAACGAGAGGTCAATAGGGTGTTAGACAGAAGAGTTATATTGGCTTGGTCGGCAGTCTGGTGCTTTCCTAGAGTATGGCAGTTGCGATACTGCACTCTTGATATCAAACACCTACAGAAGATGTGGCATTTTCCCGTCACCTCTCGAGCCTCTTTAGCATGCCTTGATCACCCCGTGCCATGAAAATCCAGCCACTGCGCCACAAGGCCTTACAACAGCAACGACAACAGCCATTCATGGCCATAGAAATGGAACACAGGTCTACCTGCCTACATATAGACCCGCACCACAATCGAAAGGAAACGGCCCATCCAGGCCATAGAGGTCTGTTTCCCGCCCTGCTGCCACAGAGTTTGGATGCCGAGTGATTCACTCCTATAGCACAATAGCTTTCAGTACCACCTGGGAAGGTCATCTCCGTTGGAGTGAATGAGGTCTCTCAAAGAAAATGAGACCGCCTGACATTTGAACAGCCTACGGACAGGAATAAAGATTGGCATCGTAGTTGTTTTCTTTGAGAGAGACTTCTCTGTTCAAGGACAAAGACGACAGCCAAACATAAAAACTTCTCGAAAACCTCGACATTAGAACATCTTTACCTCTGGAGCAAAATAAAAACCAAATCAAAACACACAGCATGTCTCAATCATCACATGAAATACAGGCCAAGGATATCGTCTCAGTCAACGACGTCCTCCAGCTTGCAGAGCGCTCCAAGTTGCTGGCGACAAGCACCCAACAGATCATGGGAAAAGACATGGACGAAGTAGAGCAGATTTTGCGGCCCGATATCGTGGCTGTGCTAGATTGCATCCTCAAAGAAATTTCTAAGAACATCACACCGGAGCAAGACAACACAACGAAGGGCTTGGATGAGAGCACGGATGCCTTTAACCTGGAGGATACTCCCGATATTGTGGAGCGTTTCAAGAAACTCATCCTTCGGTTTGAGGTGATCGACAGGCTGGCCAACCAGCTCGAATATGTACGTACTTCACCATCTTTTCGGGAGTTCAAACCTTATGCTCGTGAAATTGATGCTAATCCTCGCCTAGGACGCGCTGGCTGAGCAACAGCCAGTCGAGGCCTGTGTAGAGGCTGGCCGCCTCAAGGTGCTCATGGGTCGCGTCTTTGACGCCATCGTCTCGGATGCTCGCAAGCAACTATCGTCTCGGGCATCTACTCATACCGTAAAATTGATGATATATCGAGGCAAGAGTGTCCGGCGGCCCAAGGGTGAGGGCCGGCCCCCGCCTCGTCTGGACAGACAAGATGCCACTGTTGGCCAGGGAGGCCACGAACCGCCCCATCTGGCTAGAGAGAATGCCGACGTTGGTCAAGGCACGGAAGCCTCTGAGATACTCAAGCAGAAGGGCGAAAATCACTTAGCCTTCAAAAGATGTTGAGGACGACACCGAACACTCCGCACATTCAGTACATTGGAGACATAGAATCCTCTGCATAAGAGGCAGAGTCAGTCCCGGTTTGCAAGCTCCGAGTGAAGTGGCAGTCCAGCCACTAAAGTAAGGCTTAGTCGGACTCGGGGTGAGCAAGCCGTAGTTTGATGGGTCGTAGAGTTTCGGTCAACATCAAAAAACCAACGTCGGCGACGGGGGGTTGCCTATTCATTCGTTATCGCGCCGGTCTTCTCTGCTTCGCTCTCTCACAAGAGATAAAGGGCAAGAGAAGGGTCGCAGACCGGCAGCACAGACAGGTTCTGGGAAGCTCGGTCAGTAGTATTGATCAATAACAAACAATCACTAGTGTTTCGTCTGGCTTTTCATCTTGAACGTGAGACAATTTTGATGACAGCCGTGTGTTTACTCGTTTATTAAATCGACTCCGACTCTCTTCAGTGACACCACAGCCCATTCGGGATACTTTGACTTGTCGAAATCGTAAAGATCACCAAAGAATTGCCTGATGAGAGCCGGGTACCTGTCTTCGATGACAGCTTGTCGGATCTCTCTCATGAGATTCAGCTGATACCACACATTGTGTATGCTTAACAAGTGGGCAGCGACCGTTTCCTTGCCCGCATTATGGTTGATGAAGGCCCTGGTTACACCCAGACCACCCTCGCCCTTCCGGCAACAGATACAGCCACACCCTTCCTCAATAGGGCCGTAGTCGTTCTCATATCGCCAGTTGCGAATGTTCAGCACGCCGTGCTTCGTGATTGCGTTGCCGAACCGGGCTGTCCGCGTCGGCCAGACACAGTCGAACATGTCTGCTCCCAAGGCGACGCTCACAACCAAATCCTCGGGGTATCCGATACCCATGACATACCGAGGCTTGAGGTCCGGCAGCAGCTCGGTACAGGTCTCAACCACACGGCAGTAATCTGTCTTCGCCTCGCCGCCGCTTAGACCACCAATGGCGATGCCTGGAGTATCGCGCGCCAACATCTCCCGCGTGCACTCCCGTCGCATTTCAAGATCTAGGCCGCCCTGGATGATGCAGAAGAGGTTCTGGGTATTGGGGTTCTTGTGCGCCGCGATGCAGCGATCCAGCCATCTTACACTTCGCTCCATGGCCTCACGCATGCGGGCTGCATCGGGGGATGTCGTGACGAGCACGTCGTCGAGCTGCATCATGATGTCGCTTCCGATCGAGTTCTGTAGAGACATGGAGTGCTCTGGAGTTAAAAGCATGGGCGAGCCATCGTGGGGGCTGAGGAAGCGCACACCCTCCTCGGTGATCTTGGCCAACTTGAGCAGACTGACCATCTGGAAGCTACAGATATCGTCAGTATCCGGCGAAAGACTTGACAAATCTAGTTTGAAAGGTTTATATACATACCCTCCACTATCCGTCAAAAGATTGTGTTTCCATCCTTGGAGCTTGTGCGCACCGCCGATCCTATCCAGTACATCTTGCCCAGGCTTCAAGCCGAGATGATAGGTGTTGTTCAAGCACAGGCGGCAGCTCGTCTCTTCGAGCTGCTCGGGAGTCAAGCCTTTGAGCGAAGCTTGTGTCGCGACAGGCATGAATATCGGAAGCTGGACCGGGCCATGGGGAAGCGTCAGGATGGATGCGCGGGCTCTCGTTGTCTAGCCTAAACGGTTAACATGCGAATTTGAAACACATGAAGATCTTGTGAGTCAGGGCTTACTGAACAGCGAGCGACGAGCTCAAAGGTGAGAGCGGGCGAGGACCCGACATTGGTTGACGCCATCCTTTTCGCTATCCACATGGGCGATCGCGCAGTCCACAGGCTGCTGGTTGCGATGTGGGAGGAAGTGGAAAAGGGCTGAGTGCGGGTTGGTGAAATGCAATTCTCCAAATTCGAACCGCTAGACGATGCGCTTTCCCATCGGCGTTGGTGGGGCCGTTGAGTGTCACTCCTCCCGAATGTCCCTTTCGCTGTCTGATCCGGGCATGTACCTGACCTTGGAATACTTTATCTTCTACGTGCCTGAGTAACTCATCCCTCAGAAATTCTGTTCAAATGCTTCTAGCTGTTTTGACAGTTGCAAAACAACTATTTCCTTGATTTCGTAAAGTTCTTTGGCCGTCTCTACTACTTTGTCACCTCGAGACTGGTGGGCTAGCGTCTCTTATCCCTTAAAAGGCTCAGACTGTGCAACAGACATGGACATTTCGGGTGACTGTGGAGAGAAGCAGGAGAAGCGACAGGGGTAGCTCTCATCCAATCAGGCATCACCGGCTTCTTCCGTACTCCAATTGAAATTTCTCACGCAACGCTGCTCTCCCGTCACCATTTCGCGATACATACGACTGACGACAACTAAGCTCAGTAGAGAGCTTTAGACAGCCGCCATGTCTGCTCGAATGTCGCCCGGAGGGACGCTACTGAGATCATCTCGGATGTTCTCTGTGCCCAAGCCGCTCCCACAACCTGGAGGCCAAGCAGCTGCCATCGCTCGATACGCATCCCCGACAGCGACCGCGCCTTATCCCACGCACCAATCCATCACCACCACCGAATCCTCGAGGGCCCTTGGTGATTGGGGCCTCAAGCGCTCCCTGCCTCTTCGATCCACGACCAAGTCATCGACTCCCGTTATCCGCATCAAGGACATTGACTGCTTCGAGAACGTCACCGACTACACCTCCGCCGCAGACCATACCTTGTCTCTTCAGAAGTTCCACGAGCTCAACCTGCCCGTCTCACTACCTGGCACCAACCGGTCGCGTCTTGGTGGCATCCACGGTGGAGCTAAATCTGTATTCGAAGACGATGGCGACTTCACCACAGCCAAGCGTGACGGCGTAAACGAGGAGAAGAGGTGGAAGTTCCAGGGCCCCTGGTTGGCTGGCCTTACCGAAGGCGAGTTCAACGCATACCTGCGCAAGGCTGTCCGCAACAAGCGCGCATCATTCCGCGGCTTCTTACGGAAGCGTATCGCATCCGAGGAAACGACCAAGCAGCATCAGAAAGCCTTGGAGGCTGGAGAAACTGCGCCCAAAGCCGTTAGTGCTGGCGACGTCACCGAAGAGCAACTTACAGAGTATATTCGCAAGTTGCGTAACGACCGCATCACCTTGTACTCGCTTGTTGGCGAATTCTTGGACCTCGCTCCCCTGAACCCGCCCAGCTCTTTGGCCGACTTCAGCAGGTCGACGGAGAAGACCAAGCGCCCTAGCTTGTACGCTGAGCATGGCCCGCCGGCATCTCACCCCTCTGGTGGTATCTCATACCTCCGTACATCCAACTTCGCCGAGAACCACCCAGTATACGGACCTCAGGCGCAACACACCCCCGTCCTGGCACGAATCGTTGCCCCGAGATCAGGAGCCAACAGCGCCAAGCTGGGTGTCGGTGGTTTCATCACGGATGTTCCCCAGGGCGACACGGCTTTCAACCACAGGGCTTTCGTTGGACGCAACAACAAGATTGCTGGCGTCGTCACTTTCGATCCCGATATCAAGGGAGGTGCCAAGGCCTACGTTTCGCCTTCCTCAGCTCGCGTAGACTCAGACGGCTCTATCCAAATCACCGTCAATGAGGCCAATGAGGAGGCTCAGCTCATTCTGAGGGAGTTGGTTGGAAAGGCCAAGATCTACAACGACAAGACCGAGGTAGAGGCGCCCGCACCCGCCCGCAGATTCATCCGAAATGTGCGATTGGACAACAAAGAACCCGGGACCAGCGCGGTGGGTAGCTCCAAGAGCTATGGTCTTGACTCTTGAGGATGGTGAAGATGGTGTTGGAAGCGCTTCCAGTCACAAGACTAGGCGCGAATGAGCCTCAGACAGCGAAGCATGGAAGTTTGTGGCATTAAGAACCCATCTGTGTATGGCGTTGGCATTTGAGCCGAGTGTTCTATGTATGGTATTGTAAAATAAGAAGAATACAACGCAAATTTCGAACGCTGTTTTGGCCGTCTATGATCGCCAAGGGACTGTCGTGCTATCCAGCCTAGCTACGTCGGCTTGGTGCCATACTTAGGTGCAACTGGCCCTCAGCGAAAGGCCAGGATGTATCTTTGGGAAAATCAAACATGCTTATTCAAGAGCTGGAAAAGACGGAAAATAACCAGAAATGCTGAGCATCTTTAATTCGGTCCGTGAATACCCAATGTCCTTCACCGTGACCGGCTCCGTATCGAAGGACAAATCCCGATCCGGGTCCGAGTGGGGTGCTTCCAAGGTCCCCACTTACCAGCCAATTGCAAGATCACGTGTGCTTACATACACATGCCCCGATGGCCTGTGCACCTAAACTCCCGCGCCCCACACCACGGCCCTAAATATTCGTGTAAAGATATCAAAATTGCATCTGCCGGGCGAAACTTATCGTGAACATCTCGACCGACCAGCCTCACTAACCGACCAACTCCCTCCACCCAGCCAAATCACCCCCCCTCCGTTGAGTCAGTACCGCCAAAATGGGTCGCGTTCGCACCAAGACTGTCAAGAAGTCCGCCAAGGTCATCATTGAGCGGTACTACCCCAGACTCACCCTGGACTTCGAGACCAACAAGCGCATCTGCGATGAGATCGCCATCATCGCCTCCAAGCGCCTCCGCAACAAGGTCAGCACAGAATCACACCAGACACGCGAACGGACGACGAGAGGTCACATCGGTGTCGGGAAGGGGGAAAAAATGCGAGCGCAAAATTGCTGACGTTGGAGTGAAATTTACAGATTGCTGGCTACACCACCCACTTGATGAAGCGTATCCAGCGTGGTCCCGTCCGCGGTATCTCCTTCAAGCTTCAGGAGGAGGAGCGTGAGCGCAAGGATCAGTTCGTCCCCGAGGTCTCCGCCCTCGACTTCACCCAGAACACCGAGAGCGGACAGCTCGAGGTCGATGTCGAGACCAAGGACCTGCTCAAGCACCTCGGCGTACGTTTACCTCACCGTATAACCCTACTCAATCACTTCGTTCAATACTGACCTTGTTCTTTACAGTTCGACGCTATCCCCGTCAACGTCACTCCCGTCGGCCAGACCCAGGTCCAGGAGCGCGGAGGCCGCTTCGGTGGCCGCCCCCCTCGCCGCGACTAAATTTCAGTCGTGGTCGATTGTGGATAAGGAAAATTGGGTGGTTTTTAACGGACTTTTACGGCAAACGGCATAAGATGATACACATTGCTACAGGCGTCTTACGGACGGTAGTGAGTTCACACTAGGAACTTCCACAAAGAAAAGTTCTGTTTTCCCACACAAGGTGTCGCCGATTCTCTAGGGTAATTCCGGAGATGACGCTTGACTGCCAATTTTCAATCCCTCGCATACCGTGATGCTGTCCCTCTGACCTTGTAGCTCCACTGAGAGCCTCGCGTCGAATTGCAGCCGGGTTCTGTTACTAGGACTGTTGTGCATGAAGTGATGTAATGTTGGTATCGGTGTGCCTTTGGGTATCAAATCTATATAGAGCAACCGATCATTGCAAAGCCTAAATGAGCCCCCCCCCCCCCACGCTCCAACTACCTCTGGTATCCCGCCACCCGTAAAACTACATCATGACATATCTTGGTCACGTTGTGCTTCAAATTGGGACGCCTCGGCGATGGCTTGCGCCTTACCAGCTCCCGGCCGGTGGCCCTCAACAAACAAATGAGCATCGTCTGGATCTCCAAACACGCCATGCTCTGTCGGTGGCTTGACCTCCCTCTCCCTGATGGCAAGAGTGAAAGTTTTGCCTGGTTGTCCCGCCTCCCGCGTCTCTCCTCTTTCCAAGGCCAATGTGGCAGATTCGTCAGCCGCCCTTCTGCCATCCTCCAACTTCAGACTTGCGAGATCGCGCGAAGCTTGCGTTGCAGGGTCCTCCTGCCTCGCCTTTTCCTCTCCGTATAGCTCGATCTCAATATCAGGCAAACCGGCCCGCTCCCATGCAGCCGACTCGTTGAGCTGCACCTTGATATACATCGCCCTGCGCTGGCAGTCCTTGGAGCACCACTTCTCCGACTCCTTGCGATTGACGATATCAAAATCGGCCTTGCCAAAGTTGACGAGCCTCCACTCGCCACCTTTCGAGGCCATCGGCTTCGGCTGCGCGCAGAGGGTGTACCCGCACAAGCCGTTGACGTTGCGCTCCTCAATGAGGTCATCGTAGTCTGACGGCTGGAAGAGGCGGATGTTGGCTTTGAAGTCGGCGACGTCGCGCGGGGACGGGTTGGCGGCGGAGAAGGTTCTGCTGCCGCGCTCGGTGGGGTACTCTGAGAGCTCGGCCAGGCTCTCGAGGATCTGGAGCTCGAGGTCCTTGCGCTGCTGGATGATGCGGGCGTGCTGGAGGGCGATTTCGCGTGGGTCTTGTTTTCGGGGGTTGAGGACGGCGTTGGCGGCGCCGCTGCCGGAGGCGGTGGCTCCGGCTGCTGCCTTTTTGAGAATGCCCTTCAGTGGCCGGGCATCGGTAGCCATGGTGGATATTGTGGTGTACGTGAGGTAGTTGCGGGAGGGGGGTGAGCTGGTCGTCTACCTAGCCAGTGCGCGCGGCGCGTCGGCGGAGTGCCCGGCGAGAGCTTGGAGCTCGGCGATGCAAGGCGAACGGGCCTTTGGAAAAAAAAAAAATTCGAATTTGCGGTGAGCGGAGGTGAGGTGTTGTTGTGGCTACGCGTGTGAGACAGGCTGGAATTAAGGCACGAAGTGAAGTGGTGAGAGTAAATTGAAGACGTGAATGAACGAAAATTGTTAAGCAATTGGAGAATGTTCGATCCCGCAGTTGCTGCCGGGAATAGACACCCCACACTTCACAGCAAGAGCCAAGAGCACTCCCAATCGAGAATTTGGTGTTAGGCAAGCGCGCAAGCTGAAGCAGCAGCGCCGGAATACGTACTTCGTACCTCCTGGCACCACCCGGCTCCCGCCACGATTGAGGGGGAACAGCCGCCAAGACTTCTACACTCAGGCACGTTGGTCTGACCTGGCGCTTTGCTGGTGAAAGTGTGGCTCGGGGTGCTCGGGTGGCTTGAGCGGCCGTAACTCCGTCCTCTGCCTCCCAAGTTCCATTTCCCCCTCCATTTCCATTTGTTCCCCATGTCCGCCCGCGGCCCTATTGCCCCTCGACTGGACTTCTCGGGAGCATTTCGATTGGCTCGGGCGGCTGAAGAAACGTAGCGCATCTTCCGTCCGCTCTCACACCTCCAACACTGGACTGGTTTGACTGTTTGACCTCGTGTTGACACCAGGCTTGCCCTGCGCCACCATCGAGTGACCTTGTTCAAGCTCCTTCAGGTCATTCAGCAATGCACTAACATTGTTCCATTGCAGCACCACGTCGACTGTTCAATGCCTGGGACTGGCCTTGCCGGCTTACCTCAACTTGACCTCACACTGCAGTTGCCATGAAGGTTAGGTGCCTAACCTAGCTGTCCCATTACCTTGATCTGCTTCTTTAGGGAACCCTCTCTAGCCAACCACGAGCTTTGTGAGGTACCAGCTGGCCGTGCCGCATGCGCCTGATCTATATTGGTCTTGCCGTTGTTCCCGTTTGTCACTGTAGAGTGTCAATGTTGCTAATCCAACCTCCGCAAGAGCATAGTATCGAGTGTAGCATTGTGAAGTGTTGCAGCTAACGGTGATGGAGTCCCAACTTTTCGAGAATTCCCTGAGAAAGCCAGCCGAACCGCAGAATGCAGGCGCAGGCGACAAATGAGATGCGATAGACTTCTCTGCCCGCTCTTTGGACGACCGTTGTGGTGAACCCCTGCCCTTAGCACCTTGTTGCATCGCCTACCGTTTGATATTGGATATGGATCTCTGAGGCAAAGCTAGTCCAATTCATCGGCGACGAAAGAGATAGGAACACAGTGGCCATCTGTGTAGAAGAAGGACACGAATACTACTAGACATAGTATCCGTAAAGTGCACTCAAATCCATGGTTGCAGTGTGTCTAGGCAGACGCATCCTACCCGAAGAGCCCATCTCACCCGCATCGCGCATTGCGGCTCCAGAGTACGCAATATGCACCGCATCCAACCCCAAAACTTAGCTTACCTTAGGTACGACACTCCAAGGTAAGATGAACAAAGAGACACAGCAAGAGAGAAGGCATTTGTCAACGGGGTGTCTGGGGCTGCATACATGACTCTTATGTTTGCATAGTGCAGACTTCCCAGGCAGGGCCCCCAATTGCCCCGACACATTGAACTAAGAGAGTTACAAGTTCATGCGCTGACGTCGACACGCCAACTTGTAGATCCCTCCACCCCCGTCCGTCCCTTCCTCACAGCCTCCTTCTCCGACCGCCCCCCCCCCTTCCTCCCCCTCGCTCAGTTTGAGAAATCGCCAGCGCAGTCGCAACCCGCTCAACCACACCGTCATCATCCACCTTTGTCATTGTGTTTTTTTTCTTTACCCTCACGGGCTTCGCTTCGCACATCGCCGTCGCTGATGCTGTTGCTACTGTCCCGGATCTGACCTTCTTGTTTTCGGTCGCAGCTACTACTATTACTGCGTACTCCTGCTGCTGCTGCAATCCACAGCCCACGCAAGGTCCAAGCTGCTGACGACGTTCCGATTCCGTTGCCCCACACCCTAGAGCTCCAGCGTCGCTCGCTCTAACCTGCGGCACCCAACTCCTCTTTCGACCGTCCAGGTGTTCGCATCCCACAAACAAATCGACAACAAGCCAAACCGACGACAACGACGATATCGACGAAGACGACGGACTATCCCGATCACTGCCGGCCATGTCGACCGCCCCTTTCAGGGTCAAGGCCCTGTTCGAATACTCCTCGCCCCACGATGATGACCTCCAGTTCCCCGCCGGCGTCATCATCACCGTGACGGACGAGGAGGATGCTGACTGGTACACTGGCGAGTACGTCGACGACTCTGGCGCCAAGCACGAAGGAATCTTTCCTCGCAATTTCGTCGAGAAATTCGAACCCCAGGCCCCGCCTCGCCCAACGAGAACCCGAACCAAGAAAGAGGCCGAGGTCACGTCCCCCGTCTCGGAGGCGCCCGCCCCAGTTCCTCAATCCGAGCCCCAACCCACCAAAGAAGCTCACAACGAGGTCGAGAAACCCGCGCCGCCCCCCGCCGCTGCCATCTCTGCCTCGCCCGAAGCACCCGCAGCTCCCGAGCCCGAGCCTGTGAAGGCACCTGAGCCAATCCCCGAACCGACCCCGGTTGCTCCGGCTCCCAGGACTGAATCCCCCGCAGCTACGTCGCCTCCCATCGCCAAGGCAGCGCCTGCTTCATCCAAGCCCGGCCCACCGCCCAAACCGTCCAGCAATGCTTTCAAGGATCGCATCGCTGCATTCAACAAAGCCTCGGCCGCCCCCATTACGCCCTTTAAGCCGAGCGGGCTGGCCCAAGGTTCCTATCACATCAAGAAGCCGTTTGTGGCTCCTCCCCCTAGCCGCAATGCATACGTCCCGCCGCCTACGCAGGCACCGGTCGCAAAGGTCTACCGAAGAGACGAGGACCCGGAAATTTTGGAAAGGGAGGCAGAAGCCCAGGAGAATGCTGAGAAGGCCGGCATGGCTCCTGGTCCCTCTGGTGAAGAGGGTGAAGATGCGCCGAAGCCGACTACGCTGAAGGAGCGCATCGCTCTTCTTCAGAGACAACAACAGGAACAAGCACAGCGTAACGCCGAGGCTGCTGCGAAGAAGAAGGCTGCCCGACCGCCACCTAAGAAGCGTACCGACAGCCAGGAGGCATCTGAGGATGCTGGCGCTGCTCCTGCTCCTGCCCCTGCACCCGAGGCCGATGCGGAGGAGGTGGCAGGTCGGAGCTCGATAGACTCGGCCTCCATGCCGCTCCCGCCCAGGCGCAAGTCTTCTAAGGGCCCTGCTGCCGAGAGCTACCATGACGGCAATGAAGCGGACATGTCTGGGGCCGGCGACACCGAAGGTCCGGAGGATCTCACCGAACGTGATGATAGCGATGCGGCTCCACGACCTGTCCCGCGGCCTCAGGTCGCCTCACCTGTCGAGGCGAGACATGAGGAAGAGGCAGCTGATGAGCCGGGCGAAGCCGAGGAAGAAGAGGACGACGATGTTGACCCCGAGGTCCGCAGGAAGGAGGAGCTCCGAGCCAGGATGGCGAAGATGAGCGGTGGCATGGGGATGCACGGCATGTTCGGAATCCCAATGGCTCCGGCCATTCCAAAGAAGAAGAAGACGATCGAAAAGCCAGTGGAGGCCTCACCGACAGAGGAGCACGAAGAGGAGACATCGCCTACGAGCCGCGTCGCCGTACCGGGCATGATGGCATTGCCAGGACTGAGCGCACCCAAACGTCAAGAAGAGGCTGCTGAGCCTGAACCGCCAACATCCCCCAGAGCGCCGCCTCCGCCTCCAAGAACGATTGACGTCGATGATGACAGAGACGAGCCAATCGCTAGCCCACCTCCTAGTCGTGAGTTGTTCAAGACGGCTGTAATTTTAGTTCCCGATGCTGACCGTAGAAAGTTCCTCTTCGTGAGCCCTCAGGAGCTCCTCCTGTTCCAGGATCCCGGCCCGCAGCGCCGCCCGTTCCCAGCGATTGTAAGTTCTCTACCCTGTAGATTCGACGATCGAGATAGTGGCTTACAGTGCTTCAGCTCGACCCCCTACTTCCGGGCTCAAATCCCCCAGTGACGGCTCAGTGTCCGACGATGAACTGTCAGGAGGTGTTCTCGACACTCCCAAGGCCGAAGAAACACGAGCACCCCCGCCACTGCCGCCGGTCGCGACTGCCGCACGCTCGCCACCTCCCATTCCGGACTCCGAGTTCTCACCAACATCTCCCACCAGCTCCTCAAGCAAGCGAATGAGCAGAATTCCGCCGCCTATTCCTGGAGCCGCTCCTCCCATTCCCACAGCACAATCGCGACCACCTCCTCCACCACCTCCGGGCGGTGGTCTGAGCCGTCAGTCGACGCAGGATATGCACGTCGCATCACCCATATCACCTCCGATCAGACCTCAGCAAGGCGATGATGAGGACGAGGTTACCGAGTATGAAGGAGACTACGATACCGACATTGCCTCGTCAGTTCCCCACAAGGACGCACTCAAATCACACGCTAGGGATTCGAGTCTCGACGACAACACACCAGTCAGGTCACCCATATCTCCCGCTCTACCACCGACCATGCCGCCACCCATCCCAACCGGTCCGCCACCAAGAGCTGCTCCACCACCGGTGCCGATGACTGATAAGCGTCGCTCTGTGGATGTACCGCGGACAGCTCCTCCGCCCCCTCCGCCGGCAAGGGACGACGACGAGTACGACCCCTATAACTACTCCACCCCCAAGGTGCCATTCTCTCAGCGAACCCCGAAGATTGAAGAGGAGGGGTACTTCCAGGATGATGCTCCGCCGTTGCCATCGCCATCTCACACGAGAGCTCCGCCTCCCGCCCCTCCCGCTGGCCGAGCGCGCCAGTCGCTGGATGTGTCGCGAGCCTCCATGTCTCAGCGACGCTCTATGGATGCACACAGACCTTCCATGTCCACAGAATCAGGCTTCATCGCTAACAATGTTGACTTGGCCAAGCAAAGTGGGTGGTGGCGTCAGGACAAGACGGTACCTCCCGTGTTCCAGGGTAGAAAGGACTTATACTACGAGACGGACGACTCGACATCAGGCTCGATTGTTACACGGACTATTTACGTGCTCTTCCAAGATTACTCGCAGACGATCATCACCGTTGAATACGACCAGAACAACGCTGCCGATGTTCAGCTGGATCAACGACACGACCCACCCCCAAGAGCCCTCCGACAGGATGAGCTCGAGCAATCGTA